ACCAGCGCGGTTCCGTAGCTCGCCGAGAGTGATGCTCCGGTTTGTCAAACTATCGGCGGCGATGACATGAGACTGGGGTATTGGGCTCGCGTTTGTGTGAAGCAATTCGGTGAGGTTCAGTTCGCGAGGAATCTCGATGCGTTTAGATGTGTATATCCTCATGGTCGTGATGGTCGGTGCATTCTCTCTTTTGAGTTTTGGTCTCAAACACACTGTCGGATGAACGAGCTCTCAACAATGACATGAACAACCACAAGATCCCAGGATGAAAGGAATAGTCGCAGAGTCGTATTCTCGATCAGCGTCAGGAACAGTCGGTACGAAATAGTCCGGCGATGACGGCGAGCAAAAGAGCCTCAACTTGTCTGAGCCGCTTATGCTGTTGAACTCGCGCTTACATCCCACCTTTCCTAGACAACTAGAGTTACCGCGCGGGATGAGTGAGCGGCTTCTGCGGACCTTATTCGACGATTCCCTGCGTCGGATAATGAGGCAAAAGGAAGGCGCGGAGTAGCAGGGAATAGGTTGGCTACTGAAAGGCAGATATCCCTTCAAGCGTCGCCCTAAGGCGAAATGCAATCAGCAACCCTCCACAAGGTAGAGGAGGGGGGGGGAGACCGAGACAATGATGTGCGGAGAAGAGAGCACCTCTGCATGAAACTTCTGAATCACCATGGTCTTGGTCGCACTCGGGGAGCATCCGCAGGCGCAACTCTGCCAAACAGACTTTCTGCGGTGATCCTTGTGGGACGCTGTATGTGCGAGGTCAAAACGTCGAGGCGGCAGCTCGAGCGGCGCCGTCAGCACGGTTCGGTGTTTTGAAGGGCGAGAGGGTCATACGATGGCCTCAACGTCGAAACAACGTTTCTAGTGCTCGAATGATATATCCGCGGGCTCTTCGATTCAAGGTTAAGTCTCACTAAATAACATTCATCCTGCCATATGGATCCGCCTCGACGACCTATACGCATCGGCAATTGCTCTGGCGCCATCAACGACGGCATTGATCAGATATACCGCCTGGCCAAGTACGGCAATGTAGACGCCATCACTGGCGACTACCTCGCAGAGTTCAACATCGCCTGGAAGGCAATCGAGCTCCAGACCCAACCAGAGCTGGGATACGAGCCAAACTTCCTCGAGCAACTCGCCTGGCACAGCGGCGACGCAGCGCGCCTCGTCGCCGAGAAAGGCATCAAAATCGTCCACGATGGCGGAGCCCTGAACCCCCGGGGCCTCGCCAACAAGACGCACGCATACTTTGAAAGCCTTGGCATCCGCGACGTCAAGATCGCCTGGGTAAGCGGCGACAACGTGACCGATGCCGTAAAACGCGGCGCGTTCGGGCGAGTCATGCATCTCGACCAGCCCGGCGTCGAGTTTGATCCGCACTCGCAGGGTGACGATCTCCTCGCGGCCAACGCCTATACGGGCATGGCTGGCATCGTGCGTGCGTTGGAGCTCGGCGCCGACATCGTCATCTGCGGGAGATGCACCGATGCAAGTCCCGTAATGGGGCTTGCGACGTGGTGGCATGGGTGGAAGACGACGGAGTACGATGTGCTTGCTGCGAGTCTGATGGCCGGTCACTTGATCGAGTGCGGACCGTATGTGACGGGAGGGAACTACTGCGGTCAACGTGAGGTGCCAGATCTCCATCATGCCGGGTTCCCGATTGCGGAGATCGGAGCCGATGGCGGCGCTGTCATCACGAAGCCGGAGGGTTCCAATGGGCTGGTGTCTGTTGATACTTGCAAGGCGCAACTGCTTTATGAGATACAGGGCGTCTACTATCTCAATCCGGATGTTGTAGCCGATATTGGGAAGGCAACCTTCACACAGCTTGGTAAAGATCGCGTTCGACTATCGGGTGTGAAGGGTTTGCCGCCTCCGTCTATGACCAAGCTGTCCATCTGCTTGATGGGAGGGTACCAGGCCGAGATATCGGCGTATGCGACTGGCCTAGACACCGACTTCAAGTTCGAAGTGCTTAAGAGCCAGGTGTTGGGCCAAATCAACCAGTCCGATTTTACGACTTTGAGCCTAGAGAAGTACGGTTCATCAGTGGCAGATCCGCGGTCACAAAAGCTATGTACGACGCAATTCCGCATGTTTGCACAGTCTCGGACCAAGGCAGCGTTTGAGCAGTTCAAGAAAGCAATCTTCTATAATGGCTTACAAGGCTATTGTGGTCTTCATCTAGGTATGGATTGGAGGACTATGGAACCGAGGCCGTACGTCAGGTACTTCCCGGCCCTGATACCACAGTCCCGGATTCCCCTGTTCGTGAGTTGCATTGGTGGTGAGAAACAGCATACCATCGAGGCACGTCAAGATGGCGGCACACCCCCTCGCCAGCCCGATTACGATGCCACAGTGCCGTTGTCGAAAGTCCAGCTGTCCAGGACAGTGAGGAGACCGCTGGGGGATCTCGTCTTTGCGCGGAGCGGCGACAAGGGAGGCAACGCCAACGTGGGCTTCTGGGTACGCAACGCTTTAGCGTGGCCATGGCTGCAGGCTTTCATGACAAGACGGAGGCTCATTGAGCTGCTAGGAGATGACTGGCAAGCTCGTTACGTGGTGGAAAGGTGCGAGTTCCCAGGGCTCTGGGCGGTTCATTTTGTGATCAAGGGGATCTTACAGGAGGGCGTTAGCAGCAGCAGCGTGCTCGATGGGTTTGCAAAAAGCCTCGGGGAGTTTCTACGTGCCAGAGTTGTTGGCCTGCCGGTTGACTTGGTCAAGGTTGAGGATGACCGCCGGCCACACAGATTTGAAAGCCATGCCCGATCATCAAGGTTATGAAATCTCGAAAGTTTTGTGTATATGTGAATAGACAGGCCCTCTCTCTGAGAAGTCACTAAAAGGGGATCGACAATACCTTTGACCGAGTAGTTCGCGGAGGGCTCTTTCGCAGTGTCAACATTCCTTGTGACCCACGACTGGCCGAGGGGATAGACTGCGGAGTACCTCGGTCAAGGTTCAAGCGCCTGAGAGCGCCATTTCGGCAGTGCGACAGCGTGGTCAGTCGTCTTACTTAGCGGTCTGTGTCCCCTGGCATTTGAGCCTGTTGCTGAGGCCATGTCACTCTTCGTCAACCTCTCTATCAGCAACTTCATTAATCACCATCATACTAAGTACTCGGTTCAACTCGATAGAAATAAGACTACACGCGATGGCTCCGAACGATAGGCCGGTAAAGAACGCATCTGGCCTCTACGACAATGTTGATTTCCGCAAAGCCGCCGGCTACGAACATGCCCCCATCAAGTGCGCCTACAACCGCCGTGATGTGCTACTCTTCGTAAGAAGCATCTCTGCATCTCTTGATTATGCTCAAGCCATGTTCTACGAGTGGCTGCCATTATGTTGGGTCAATGAAAGCGCCAGCTAAAACACTTGCTAGGCGAATGCCATCGGCTGCCAGAAGGAAGAGTTACATTTCCTCTACGAATTGCACCCAAACTTTGCCGCCTTCCCCACGTTTCCAATCAATCTCGCCTTCAAGCAGACGGACCAAGATGTCTTTGATTTTATTGCCCGTACCGTGACCGGCCACGTCCCGGGCTGTCCGCCATTCGACGCCCAGCGTTCCGTGGACGGAGAGAGAGGCATTGAGATCCTCCGCCCCATCCCCGTGTCTTCGGATGGGCTTGACTTGGAGGTTCGAAGCAAGGTCATCGGAGTCTATGACAAGGGTGCGCAGGCATTTCGTAGGAAATCGCGAAATACAAGGCTAACTCGCCTACAGGCGGCGCAATGATTCTTGAAGCAGAACAGCTGCTGGTCGACAAGAAGACCAACACAGCTTACACCAAAATGACATCCACCGCCTTCGGCATAGGACAAGGCGGCTACAACGGGCCGCGGGGCCCAACTAAGCCGGCCGTGAAAGCACCGGATCGCGCCCCGGACGCCGTGCACATCATCAAGACCACCCCGGAGGCAGCTCTTCTTTACCGCCTCTGCGGCGACTACAACCCGCTTCACGCAGACGAGGCATTTGGGCAGCGCGCCGGATTCAAGGGGTCTATCCTCCAAGGCCTGGGCACCTGGAACATGGCTGCACATGGTTTGCTACAGAAGTTGGGCGGCGGCGACCCAAGTCGTTTTAGAGCGTACGGGGCCAGGTTCAAGAGCGTCGTTTATCCCGGAGATACCCTCGAGACGCGCATGTGGGTTGTCAAAAGCGGAGGCGGGGTGGACGATGTTGTCTTTGAGACGATCGTGAAGGATGATGGACGAGTTGCTCTGTAAGTCTACTCCAGGTGGCATCCTCACCGCCAAACCCTCCTTGTTGCGAGAAGGGACGCTGACAATCACGAAGGTCCAATGGCTACGCCAAGATTTTGCAAGCGAAACCAAAGATGTGATCTTTATGCCGCGCACGTGGAAGCTTTCCAGGGATACAGCTCGTGGCCTTCAGAGGAGGTTTCCGTCTTTGAGGCAGAGTTTGCGCCGTGTATCATATTCGTCCAAACTCGGACTAAGTCGCGAATATAGGTCCATCTGTGCTGCTGCAATACCGGTCGTCTTATGACTTTTCGAGTCAGAAGAAGGAGAAAGAGTTGTCCTTCTTGAGTCGGCAGAGTTCAAGTGAAGGAAACGACGACACTGGCCAACAGGTTGAGGTAAGGCTTGTCCGTGCAGATTGCGTGCTGTTTGAACGAAGCATTTCATCGGCATACCAGGCAATGCTGGCCAGTGTCAAGTTGTCAAAGTTTCTGTTGGAGAAGACCAAAGTTGACCTCGGCAGGCCACACATCCACGCAAATATCTCGAGATTGCATCAAAAATGAGGTTGGATTAGTCTACGAGGGCACAAAGACCAAAAGTTGCGTCGAGGGGGAATCGAACCCCCGGCTCCCCGACGCTGCTTGATGGCAACGGAGAATTTTACCACTAAACCATCGACGCGATTCGTTGGATGAAGATGGTGCGATCTGTAAGATCTCTTGTAGCAAGCTTGTTTGGCCGCCAAAATTTTGTTCAAATCCTCCCAGCTACAGATGCGAAGGAAACCACTTGGGGTCTCTCTTCTCACGATATGCCGCCAGTCCTTCAGTCGCGTTCTTGCTCCGAAGCATTGCCTCGGCCCATAACTCCTGTCCGCGCATAGTCGCTCTGCTAACGCCAGTCTCCCATGCTTCCCGTGCCGCCAATCGCGAGATAATGACGCTGTCGGGACTCAGTCCAGCGATCTGGCTAGCATAGTCGAGTGTTCTCTCCAGAAGCCTCTCCTGCGGCACAATCTCCTTAACCAATCCCCAGTTGCGTGCCTCTTCTACTGATAATGTCCGGCCTGTGAGTATGAGATCCATCGTCCGGTGATTACCAAAGAGCATCATGCAACGAGGCAATGCGCCGGCGAGGGCAGATACGCCGCGGAGGACTTCGGGGAGACGAAATGTTGCGTTTGGTGAAGCGAAGATGACATCGGCGTTGAGAATGGCTTCAAAGCCACCACCTACATGCCCGTATTAGCTCTGTCTTAGCACCTGCATCCGCAGCATTGTCCTCAAATTCCAATGTCAAGCATACCGTGAGCGTGGCCGTTGCATGCGACAATGATCGGTTTCCTCCCTGTCCGATTGCTCATGCCCGCAAATTGACCTGGTGGGTAGTCAAAGGCGACGTCGTTTGTCTTGATGATATCCAATCTCTGCTTCAGGTCCATGCCGGCGCAAAAGGCCTTGGTTCCAACTCCCGTGAACACGGCGCATCGCAGCTCCGGTTCGGCATCATACCATTTCCACAATGCACCGAGTTCTATCGTCGCCTCCACGGGGAGACAATTCATATGCTCCGGTCGGTTTATCGTGACAAGAAGGATGTGTTTCCGCGGAAAGGATATCAGACTGTGTTCAATATGCGGGTAGGGATTCTCAATCCAAGAAGGGACTGGCTTCTTCGTCCTTGGCGTCGCCATCTTCGTGATCGAGTGGCTCGCTTGGCTGTGAGTCTTACTTTGGGTTACTTGGTGCCGATGCCGTGGAACGCTGCGCAACCTGTAGTGATCTGTCTCGTATCACCCTGTTGCTGTACCTTCGAGGCTTCGATACCTAGCTCTGGTGTTCCAAAGAGTCGAAGTACCTCTCCATCATCCTTCTCGCCAAGTTGGTCAACAGACAATCACAAGATGTCGTAGACACACCCCGTCACGTAATGATACCTGACTTCCCGGCCAGTTCAGTGCACAGTGACCTGCCACTCATGCCCAATGCTCACAGACGAGAACGAGCGCAACCCCTCCCCTGATGATCCGTTGACGGATGCTCCCTAGCGAGTCGCATAGGCAAGCCGCCTCGGCAATCCAGGCGGGAACATCCCTGTGGCTCATCACTGTGGGGTGTCCCACGATTTCGCTGTCCCTCTTTCAACCGCTGTAAAGACGCCAGAAACGTGTGTCCCGCTGAGCACGATTGGAGGAGCGAGTCAAAGCCCCTGCGAAACCTGGCGCAATGGCCGTCGAGGAAGGCCAAAGCATCGGGGATGTGTGCCATGCAGGCGGAAGCCTTCTTACCCTCCCCCGATGGACGCGCCACGGAGAATAGCCCGAGTGGGGGGTAGGTGAATCCTGGATCCGGGATAAATCCTTCGAGGACCGGATGCTAGGATTGTCGTGTGTTCTACGACTTTATCCGAGCCCGCGAAGCTTAATAGAGGGCGGGAGTATGCAAACGAACTCCGACACAAGCAGTTGGCATCGTAATAGTATCACCAAGTGAGCAACGTGATCACGGCTCATCACAAGATCATCAAGACTGCTTCAACAAGCTCGAAATAAACCGGACCGCAGTATTAGAAAAATCCTCGGCATGATGGGGTTCAAGACAGAAACACCCGAGCCAGCAACGCCGGTTTTTCTCAGGCTTTCATACCCAGCTCCCCGGGTATTGCTTGTTCGAATGGACAGGCCAAAAGACCTCAACGCCATGTCTACAGCAGCCCAGTGGGAGATGGACTCGGTCTGGAAATGGTATGACCAGGAACCCAATCTCAGCGTCGCAATCATCACAGGCACGGGAAGGGCCTTTTCTGCGGGAGCAGACCTCAAAGAGTGGAATAATAGCATGGCCGACGACGCCGACCCAAGCCAGCGCATGGGCAACGCGCCTGCTTTCAAGCCCTTGAGCAGGAGATTGGGCAAGAAACCAGTCATTGCCGCAGTCAACGGTCTCGCCATGGGTGGCGGGTGCGAATTCGTAGTCAACTGCGACCTCGTCGTCGCCGCCGAGGACGCTTACTTTGGGCTTCCCGAAGTCAAGAGGGGCATCGCGGCCATAGGCGGCGCTTTGCCGCGACTCATACGGACCATCGGACTTCAGAGAGCAAGCGAATTCGCGCTGACGGGGCGTAACGTCTCGGCGCGGGAGATGGAGCAATGGGGTATCGTGAACAAGGTAGTGTCCAAGGAGAAAGTTGTCGAGGAGGCGGTGCGTTATGCCAAGATGATTGCAGCCAACTCCCCGGATGCCATTATATGCACCAGAGCTGGATTGAGGCAGGGCTGGGAAACGGCATCTGTAGAGCGAGCAGTTGAGTGGACGCTGGAGAAGGAGTTTGCCGAGCTGCAAAAGGGCGAGAACATCCTTGAGGGCCTCAAAGCATTCTCTGAGAAGCGAGAACCCCATTGGAAAGGTAGCAAATTGTAAGATGAACGGGATCTAATTCCAAACATGCCGTTCGAAGAGGAGAAGCAGAAGATCCCGTCTGATGAGAAACCCGGACGAACTAGATCTGTGTGGCCTTCCTCTCCCAAAGCTTTTGCTCGACCACCGTCTAGACTAATCAAACCCGTCGTCCGAAACCAGTTGAGATCGACCAGCCAGGTTTGTCCTTCTTTGTATATAGTCGATGCATACTATGTACACAGTAGAAAAGCCTACCAGGACTTGGGTTGCATGCGCTGCCAACTGCACGTTTTTGTCAGCGTTGCAGATAGACCAGGTGATGGGAAGTGAGGGCAGCCATCACCAATATCGCCCATCACATCAGACTGGTGTACCGTCGGTCCGGCCCCAAAACGGGTTTCAACTATCAGTCCAGTGCAGCGCCTTTCACCAGCTTGACATCCTGTCCCGATTCAACAATTTGAGTCAGCAGCGAGCTAATGATTCGAACCACTGTCGCGGCCAGATGCTGAAATCCCAAAGTTGTTGTGCTCAGGTCGTGGGGTGGTCTTCCCCGCAGGCCGGCGCAGGGAGAGGCCCCGACTGCACAACCAGACTCTGTGAAAGAGTTTCGAAGAGGTTCGAGTCTTCCGGGGGACACCTTGGTATGCGTATGCCGTGGGACGGTGAAGCCGCGTTACTGCGTGTGAAGAGGGAGGGGCGGGCGGGCAGAGAAACAGATGGACACATGCAGGCAGACAGACAGACGGCAAGCAAGTCAGACCAAGACTTGCATTGCATGTCTTGGGGTTCATCTCACTGCTGACCTTGTCCCGTCACTCAACCCTCATTCGACACTACGCCGCACATATACAGTCCTCCGTCGACGTCTATAGATGGCACGTTGGTCGAGAAAGGTTGTATAAGACTCGAGCACGGCCTCGAGCGCGCAAGATCCCGCCCGTCGAAACCCGTGTGACGACTTTCAATTCGAAATACCGACATACTGCGAGCTGGTTCCCGCATATCGATATACCGATCATCCATCATGGATATCTCCAAGAACGAGTCCTATCGCGAGTTCGATGGGGCTTCGCTGGAGAAATACCGTGAGTTCGACCGCGATACCGACCGAGACGATGCTTCTTCGATCCGTTCCGAGGCGCTCGGCGATGATCTCCCTCCCGGCTACTACTATTCTCCTCAGTTCCTAGGGGCCATGGCGGTTTGTCGACACCTTTGCCAAGATCTGGATGTTCACTAATATCATCTAGGGGTTTTGTCTTTCAGCAATGTCGGCATACATCTTCTTGATCCTGCCAACCAACGTGCTGACATTCATCAACGCTGATATCGGTTAGTACATCCGGTAATGATGTAAAAGATGTCATATGCTTACATTAGATAGGTCCGAGCCCATATATCTCCTGGGTCAACATTGCCAGAACTCTCTCGCTGTCATTCACCTACACGATCCTGGGCCGCTTGTCAGACCTTTTCGGAAGACGATGGTTCTTCATCGGTGGCAACGTCGTCGCCATCGTCGGAATCGTCGTGTGTGCTGTGGCGCACAATGTCGAGACACTCATCGTTGGTGCCGCCATCTATGGCCTGGGCGAGACGGTCCAGCTGAGCTTCAACGTTGCCGTTGGCGAACTGGTTCCCAACAAGTACCGTCCTGTCGTCTTGTCTCTAATCTTCTTGACCAATGCCCCCATCTCCGCGTTTGGCCCTTTCGTTGGTGAGTTGATGGCGAGAGGCCCATTTGAGGATACATGCAGTTGCTCACTATATCTTAGCCCGGAAATTCGTCGAGAACCCCAATCTCAGCTGGAGATGGTGTTTCTACGTCAACATCATCGCCGTGGGACTCGCCATCGTTCTCTTGTACTTGTTTTACCACCCACCCACCTTTGAGCTTCTCCATGACCGCAAGACCAAGCGCGAGCTGCTCAAGGAACTGGACTGTAAGTTGACTTTCCTGGTTGGCCTCTCATATCCCCTCAATGCTAACATGATGCAAAGATCTTGGCATCTTCCTATGGACTGCTGGCCTCACTCTTCTCCTCATGGGTGTATCTTGGGGAGGCGTCATGTTCCCTTGGGACTCTGCAGCTACCATCTCGAGCTTGGTTCTTGGTGTCGTTCTTCTGGTGGCACTCTTCTGCTGGGAGGCCTTTGCGGATCTGAAGTATCCTGCCATCCCTATCAAGTTCTTTGCCAACCGTGGTTTCATGGCACTTGTGTGCTGCGCAACAGTTGCTACAGTAAGTATCCCCCACCCCCTCCAACAAGTTCTGCGTGGCTAACAGATTCGAAGATGTTTTACTACTCCGCTGTCTTGCTATGGCCACAGCAGGTTCAGGCCTTGTACACGACTGATATCACCTACGGCGGTTGGCTCTCGGTAAGCAGACCTCAGACCAACGTCTCTCGCATGCAGCTAACAGTCATTAGTCCACTGTGGCAAGTGCTACAGCGCTTGGTCAAGTTTGCGCAGGAGGCATCGTGAAATGGGGAGGCAACGTCCGGTACTGGATCATCTTCGCGACCTTCTGCATGGTCGGCTTCGTCGGGGCGCTCGCGTCCCTGACCCCTGAGACACTGAACACAGGAATCGCCCTCACCATCCTCGGCCCGTTCTTCGTGGGCTTCATCGAGTTGGCATCTCTCGCTCTGGCGCCCCTATTCTGCAAACCCTCAGATATCGGCCTCGCCTCGGGTCTCCTCGCGTCCATCCGCTCGACCGGAGGCTCCATCGCCGTCGCCGTCTACACGACGATCCTGTCAAATCGCCTGGCAACGGAGATCCCGGCAGCTATTCGCGGCCCAGCCGTTGCTGCGGGTTTGCCCTCAAGCCAGCTCCCGGCCCTTGCAAAGGCAGTGCAGGCCGGAAAACTGGCCGCATTCCCTGGCTTGACGAGTGCCGTCAAGGCTGCCGTGGCAAAGGTGCTTCCGACTGCGTACTCGAAGGCGTTTGAGACGGTTTATCTGGCGAGTCTGGGCTTCGGAGCAATCGCGATTGTCGGATGCTTGTTCTCCAAGGATGCTCAGAAGCATCTGACGAACAAGGTGGAAAGACGTATGGGTGATGGGAAGAGAGCTTGACGAAGACTTGAGTTACTTGATCAAGGGGCAGAGTGATGGGGGGACTTGTAAGTGTATAGATCGTCACGCTTGTAGCCAGTTTGCAGGAACGATTATCGCACGATTTGGTTTGAGGTGCTGGTGACTGTATTGCTTCAACTTCCTCCGCCTTGATTGTCTTCATTGCACGTGGCTACAGGACCGCAACCATCTATCTATGGTCGCAATGGATGAGAAAATTCCGACTTCGCTCGCAGCAAGACGCTGCAGAGCTTCCCCGTAATCTACAATAATGAAACCTCCTGGCCTCTGCGTGATGCTGCTTTATCTAGGTCAAATTCCATGGTACCATCCTTCCAAGCTTCATCGAGCAGCTCCCATGTAGATCGTGCCAACTGAAAGAGATACCTCTTCTTAGCAGCCGACAGCACGTCATCCACAGTTTGTTTCCAGTCAGGATGCCGCTTAAGGAGTCGAGTTTCGAGACATGCCGTTATCAGAGGGAAGACGATGCCATTGCGGCACAACAGATGCTGATTCTCGGGCAGCTGACACGCCACACAAAAGAGATGAAGTCCTGATACTAGACGGTATAGAACAATTTCTGAACTTGGCAGTGCGTCCTGCTGATCGTCGCCAACGAATTGGCCGTCTTTTTGTGTCGCGTTTACAATACGCTGCTCGCGTCTGCGGATGTGAAGCATGCCGGCAAACCGCCAACAATCCCACAACAAGCACTGAACGTACTCGCCCATTTCACCTGGCCATCCCCAAAACCGACTTATGGAGACCTCCGCCGTCTCGAATGGGGTGTCGGCGAAGATATCCAGCAGCGAATGCGGCACACCAGTGATGACTTCCAAGGCCTTGACTCTTCCCCCTTTCCAGGAGTCTTGAACTTGTCGAAAGCGTCTCCAAATACCGAGAGAGGGACACTTTCTTCCTAGTACGAGACAGGGCATGTCCATGAGACCGATGAATTCCAAGGCATGCCGTACTGAGAGGTCATGCTCGGGATTGGGATTGAGATATGATGTAGGAGCATTCAGGTGGAAGGTTTCGGCGAGTAGTCCAATGACGGGTGTACACGGTTGGGCTTGAAGGAACTATGTGATCCATTCGCTTAGCTGAAAGATCTATGCCATGTCTGGACATCTGCGGTCTAAGGAGGGGACTGGTAGTGGTGCGATCCAGCGTCCGCCGGACTTAGTCGGCTATCATCGGGGTCACTTACTTGAAGAACACACAGCAGTACGCCAGAGCATGCCGTGGCAGCCGGCATAACATCGTAATGGGCCACGATTTCGCGCCGAAACTCCTTCAGAGCAGTGTCAACGTACTCCATTGAGGAGACAGACATGTCCGAGCTACCTTCATCAAGATAGGCTTGGATGGCGGAAGATAGCAATACTAGAGATTTGCTCTTGGCAGACATCTCAACAAAGAACGGCTGGACCCATGAGCACACTGATGTGCTGTAGAGGTTCATGAGGCCTGTGCGGAGAACTGTAAGCGTCACTCCCTGTTAGCGAGCTCAACGTGATATATCTCATCGAGTCAGCACTGGGACACGCGCAGTTGTGGCATACACTTATGGAAAAGCTCATCCGTAACATGTGTCGTCTGTACCTGAGGGCTGGGGCGATTCGGGAGTGCGATCTGACTTGCGAGAGTGTTGGATCCGGCTGGATTGCTAGTAGCATTGCTGCTACCTTCGCCGGCAGAGGAGTGATTCGCAGCACCATCCACCCAGCGCAGGGGCGTTGAGTATCCAGGGCATTGGATCCCTCGTTGAGTACAGGCTTCGCAAAACGGACGGCGGCGGTCACACTTTCGTTTCCGCCGCCGACAGCTCATACAACCGCCGCGAGCGCGTTGCATCTTGGTCTCTCGAATCTATAGAGTGGCAGCTCAAGATGGGCTTCATAGCCGTTGACAAATGGATGTTTTGTCCAAAATACACACACGCACACGGAGAAGTAGAATGGACAAAGATGCCGGCATGGGAGCTTAGCCTCTGTGGCTGCTTCGATTCAGGGGACATTGGGACTGACCAAACGGAGCACAGACTACGGAATTCCCAGCATGATTCAGGGCTAAGAACATAAAGTTAGACCGCACTGATTAGCGAGTGTAGGTGGCTACTCGAGCGTAGCACTACCGAACCCCACGCACGGTAAACGGTGCATAGCAGATTTCCGGGTATTCAAGCAACAAAAGATGGTTGGCAAGGATGGCGTCGTCGGGTCACAAGTTCCTTTTCGGCAGCTTGCGGTAGTACTTGTTGGGGCATTACGTTATTTTGCACAGTTGCTGTACATAGTATTGTCTTTCTACCTTGAGAGTGGAGAGTGGTGTGTTGCCCAGGTGTTGCTCTCATTGTCAAGCATTGAGAATCTTGTCAATGACGCCCACGGCTTCCAAACACTCTTCATCGCGGAACCGCGGAGCGATAATCTGGATTGCACAAGGTGCACCATCAGTAGCTTCGGGGATGTCTTGAAAGTTCAAAGGTTCGAAACATCAGCGCAAGTTTCTTGTTCGGAAGATCGGGGAAGGATCTTACAATCAGGCACAAAGTCCGCGATGGCCTTTTGTGGTTCAGAGTCTTGCGTCGCGGACGCGGTGCCAAAGGGAATGACCGCTGCAGGGAACTGTTCAATGTTACATTAGCGACCTATGAGAATACTACCAAGGATTTCTAAGCAAGGGGGTAGTTAAACACTCACGTCAATTAAACTCCACATGACTGTATACACGGGGAGGCCAAAGGTATCGTGTGGCACGGCAGTGCAGGATGCCCCAGGAGCCAATACAATGTCGAGGTCGTGTTCTTGCCAGGTATGGCTCCATGACTGGGCATAGGCCGCGCGAGCCATGTTCAGTCCTGTGAACTGGCTTGGGATGTCCAGCTTCGGGTCGACAGGAAAGTCTCCAGTAGAGAAGGGATGCATTCCTTTGGCGACAGAGGCAACAAAAGGCTCTCCAAAGTCAGCAACAGCTGGCGCTGAAATGCTAAAGTATTGGTACGAGATCCTTGCGCCGAGGGCCACGCTACGCTTCGCATCCGTTGCAAGATGGACAACTTTGTGTCCAGCTTTCTCGAGAGCGGACGCGGCTTCAGCCAAGCTCCTGCGTACAGGAGGGTGTAGGGTATATTCGGGATCTTCGGGCAAGATCCCAATCGTCAAGGGCTTCGATCGAGGCTCGTCTAGGGTTCTCCAGGAGAGATTGATCGCGCTACCGTCGTATCTCCATGGGTTGAGCTTAGTTACGACCTCCATGAGGAGCGACAAGTCGTCGGCGGAGTTAGCCAACGGACCGAGAGCGGGCATCACAGCGGACATCCAGTTCATGGGCCAAGGAGAGAGAGACTGTCCTGCGAACGGTATACGATCCACAGTCGGCTTGAAGCCATACACACCGCAGCAGAAAGCTGGGATGCGTACAGAACCGGCCAGATCGCTACCGATGCCCAGAGGTGATCCGCGGAATGCGACAAGCGCACCCTCGCCTCCGCTAGAGCCACCAGCTGTCAACTTTGTATTGTGTGGGTTGAGTGTTCGGCCGAAGATATTGTTCTCGGAATCGCACGTCTGGACATACTGCGTTAGCGAATATTGTCTAGGGGGTGTTTTGTCTGTGTAGGACGCTTACCATCATCGTTTGTGGAATATTGGTCTTGCAACTAGCAAGGTTTCCTATCGTCAGATCTGCTTGTTGAAGCAATTTGTTCGCTTAGTCTGCTTACTAGAGGACTGCTCCTGCATCAAGAAGCAGCTTGACAAGGGCAGCGTTGCCTTTGGGACGGTCTTGCTTGAGAAATGCGACATATCCGACAGACGCGAAGTGTCCATCTACGTGAAGGCTGTCCTGAATGGTGTCAATTGGTCTGTTATTTGCCGCCAGACTGAAATTCAGAGGCTATGTAGTGCTGTCCTACCTTTAGACTAATTGGCAAGCCGTGGAGCGGGCCAACAACTTTGCCTGTTTCTCGCAACTGCTTATCGAGCCACTGGGCTCTCTCGATTCCGTCTTCGAAGAAGATCTCGGTGAGGCAGGACGTCTAGTATTCGTAACAGAACATCAGTCTGTTGCTTCTGCGAAGCGGACTGTCAGTTACAAGCAAACGTCCAGCTACTCACTAATTGCTGGGCAACGGCTGCTCGCTTGCAGTACGCAGTGACGACTTTCTCTGCGCTGAGCGTTCCTTGGCGAAGGTGTCTCACAAGCTCACGGGCTGTGTAATTCTCGGTAATGTTCATTTCGTTGCTGTCTAGAATGCCTGAGTTCTTGGCTGCTTGAAGATCGATGAGGCGGCCCTCTTTCGCCGTGCCGGCGCCGCGAAGCTGTTCTAACTTGTCATTGTCCAAAACCCAGTCCAACGGTACCTTCTTCTTCTGCTCCTCGAAGTGCTTTCGAGCAATTTGTTCCCATTCCGCCATACTTGGCTATCAAAGGAGGTTGTTGAGGGTCAAGAGAAGGTGCGTTGACGATCTTCAATGAAGTTGGGTCCGAGTCTGGATGACAGGCCCTTGCGACCTCATTGCAAGGGACATGTCGCAGGAGATATATACATGAAGGATTGAAGAACTAAGGAGTATGTTCTACGGAAGTTCTTCTCTGCTCGCTGCTCCTCTTCCTTCAAATCACTCCTCTGCACATCATCTGACAGCGCTGGCGGCGCACTTCATGGCCCAATTGGGATAGCATTACCGCTTACTGATTGGTCCTCCACAAATCCATTCCGACGGCTGCACCGAGATCTCAGCATCTCTCGGAATTCAGAACTCATCGGTCTCGTGAGAGCCAGATTTCACCATTTTCCAAGGCGACAGAAGATCCCTCGTTTGCCGGCTGAGCATTCAATGTGGTGATGCCTCGACAAGTTCCGCGTTGGGTTCCGAACGTTGAACGCGTCCATCGGAGTTCTCATTAGTTGGAGTTCCCACAAAGAACCAGTCAGCGATTCAGCATACAGGCTAGCACGAGTCAAAACATTGAAGAACTTCCAGCTCAGGATAGATAGTTGGAGCGAAATGGCATTGCGCGTGTTTGTTTTTTTCTCTGATATTAAGGCATGGCACCTACTATAACCAGAGACCAGGCCTAAAGTCTTGTCACGCTTGTTGCAATTGGCTTCAGATCTTCAATTTTGAGATGAGACAGAGTCTGCGCAAGGCTATCGCGCCGGCCTTATCGCATGGAGCATCGTATGTTTTGGGGCAGAATTCCCAGAAAATTTGGGGGCCAGTCGACTTCAAAAGGCTCTAACAACAGGACTTGATGGAGTGATACGATCTACAGTATCCGTGATGCGTGTTGATGACTCCAGTCTGGTCAAGAGGGTTTACTCCGTGAACGCACCAAAGGCAGGCGGGACCGCACCAGATTGACCGCGATTATCTAAGCAGCATACACAAAGTAAGACAATAGAGGAAATAATGAATTCTTCATAATAGTAGTGCACAATTCAACAACCGCGGTCTATGTATGGATTCGTTAACCACATTGGGTAAGTGTAGCCACCATCCCTAAGTGGGTAAATTAGATTACTTTTCAAAACTTGTCCCATAAGTAAGGTACTACGCTGGATGTCAAACTGGCACGTGCCTAGATGCATTACAGCCAGAAAACTGAACATGGACCAAGCCACGACTTTCAGTGTACTGATGGCGCTCTTGGAATCTTCAAGCTGTTCGGAGGCTCGGTCTGCTGACCTCGTGTTGCCTGACTTAAAACGCCCTTAGGATCTTGTGCGACGAGTCTTGAATAAGCCGCAGTGGATGGTGGCCCTGAGTCCCACTACGATGCTGTTTAGGTAGATGGAGTCAACATGAGCAGAAGTTTGACCGCCCACATAGTTCCACTCTCCCTATTTCGGCTGGGTCATTGCACAAAAATGTTGTAAAATCATGGATCAAATTCTTAATATTAAAGAAATCACTCTCAATATCTTCAGCTTTTTAGTCCCGTACGAGAGCTATGATATTCTGCCGCCTTGTTCAAGGATGAGACACAAAAAAAGAACACCTCTCCTCTTCCAGAATCGAACTAGAGACCTTTCGATGGATGTGGATAAACCATTACAGTCGAACGTGATGAACCAACTACACCAAGAGGAGGCTGTGGAGTGGCGGGACTGTTTTTCACTCTTATTCCAATGCGTGCTGGCGCCGACCAAGCTGCCATGTTCTCGCGGTAGTTGCAATAACTTGAGAAAAATCACTTCAGAAACTGTTATTATGGCACACACTCTCAAGCTGGAAGAGTCAGACGAAGGTTCCAACTTGAAGGAGATCATAAATTAAGTACGGTGATCCATCTTCAGAGGCCTCTTTGTAGACTTACCTCCAGCACCGCCTCACGTGTACTCTTGTGATGTAATCTCTACAAGCCTCTTAGTACGTTGCGCTTAAATATTGATCGAAAATTATTCGGTGAGTGCTGTCAAAGTTTTCCTTCAAAGCACAATTCTAGAGGTTCGTGTATCTTCTTTCAGTAAACCGACACCTTTCAATGACTTTGACTTTCGCCATGAAAACACACTTGGGACTGGTCTGGTGACATTGAACGTCGCTTTCATAAAATCAGCAACTATGAGAATAGTAGAGACTAGGAGAACTGGGTATCCTCCATTGACATGAGTTCAGATTCCGACTTGAGTGGTCACAAGTTTAGCAAGGTAGTATCGTTGGCCAAATCTAGGAGTAATACAATCACTCACTCATACCAAAATTCAAATGCTCAAACGTCATTCTACAGAATCAAGTGCACGTCGATGGGTTTCCCCAATTATCCAGTCAGCCCATACGCTGCATGATAGCGACAGGTGAAGTTGTTAGCCGTACACACGATGTCAATGTAACCCAACTTCAATGAAAGATATCTACGATCGGGGGATCTTTGCCCAGAACTCTCAGTCTAGAAATTAAAACGCACGCTCAATCTCGTAAAAATGAAAGGGGGGTTATCCCGCATTGAAGGATCTGCTTACCAGGTGACTATACTGATTCGGGTGTTACGAAGCTGCTGCCTAGAGTTAGCCAAGGACCAGGCGTTCAACTACATTAAAACACCGCGCATGGTGGAACCCAACCTTTCTCTTATACTTGGAAGTGGCAGGTCTTCGGGGACCTTCTTACAGATATCGGCGACCTCAGCATACTTGACGATTCGCATTCGAGCGGTGAGGCTAACGGCTTCAACTTGCAATACTGCTGCGATTTGCTGACAGGCTTGCATCAAGTCAGACTCTGGCAACGATTGCGCAATTGAGCGTCTCGTACCTATATCCTAGTAATTTTCGCTCATCGCAAGGCGCATCACATACTTCTGTTTGGTGGCAAATTGTTGAACGAGGATCAAGGCTTCATCGGTAAACGTACGGCAACTGCTGTGATGCTGCCTAGAGGGGAGAAGACGGGCGCCGTGATGTATTGAGTAACCTCGGCCGTTCCAATCATGATATGATTCAACTCTGGATACTCATCTTTCAGTGGGATTATAAAAGTGTAGCTTATGCCCTAGAGTCGAGTTTGTGCTTAACCAGACTCACGCAGACTTGAACTTTCTCAGCGGTTCGCGAATAGTTTCCAAAACCGACATTCTCAACAGAGTAAGTGATTCATACAGAAAACAACGTGACTCATTTTTACAAACATCAAGATTGACATGAATTTCAGCGAAAATGCGCTTCTCCGTTGTCTCCATCTTTACCATCGTCGCAGCACTTGCTGAAGCGCAGCAATGCACACCCGGCCGTTACCAATGCAGGTGAGTCTTTTAGCCTCTTGAACCCATACTCTGAATACCCAGCTTTCATGCGAGCTCATCACTTGAAATAGATCAAATGTGTTTCCCGCGGTCTGTGACGCCTCTGGCAACTGGGTCGTTCTACAGCGTTGCCCAAACAATTGGCGCTGCATCGAGAACAACGGCAGCGTGACCTGTTCCCCGTAGCTCACTATGTCATGGAGCCTAGAGGTCGAGCTTTCGCCTATACATAGCTCGATAGCGAAGGCTTTGTTGAGAGATGATGGTTCGCGACCAGGCATGATGGTATGAGAGACTACATTCGATTGTCAAGGTTGACATCGCTCCTCAATTATTACACATGTAGAATCAAGCTTCTCCTCCAGATTGCATCGCCGTTTCCTGGCTTTCTAAGATTATTCATTGTACCTTAATTGAAAAAGGCTGCAACCATGATTGAGAGTCAAAACCGTCCAGGAAATTGGAAGTGCATTGAGTAAAGTAATCCGACGCCGGGTTTAATCAGTTGCAGAGTGGTTCATGATGAGGCCAAGTACAGTGTTTAGGTCCTGAAGTCTTCTCTCAACGCAGGATGCCATGGGAAGACAACCGATCGACGAGAATGGCCTCGGAAAAAACAGAGCCCATTCACCCAACGCTGAATGAGTAGCTCTGGTCCAGGCTCGTTGTGAAAGTCGACCGATTCCAACTTACTTCCAGCGATAGCTCCAGCGACAGCAATCGACACGTGCTTATCAATATCGTTCGGGTACAGTGTTTCCGAAGACTCCTTCATCGGCTTGGAAGAAGTGAACACGTACCTGACTGAGTCGGGTCAACATTGAATCCAACCAGAATTGTACTTTTCTTACCTATATCGTCGTCTTTGTTCTCCGAAGAGCCCTCCGACTCTTTCTCAGAGTCGCCCCCACTCACAGAATCGGAAGCAATATGATGATAATTGGTGTGAGAGCTTGCACCTGAATCGTCGCTTCGGTCATCAAATAGCACAACATCATCATCTTCATACCCTTTTGGCTCTTCATCCCCTTCCATGTCTTCTAGTACAAAAATACCGCAGTAACTGTACGGTTGATCATCGAGCAGGCCGCCAAGTACCAGCGGCTTCTCCGCATCCATTGCCGCAACAACTATCTCGGCCATCATCCGCATGTAATTCTTGGAGAAAGTTGCCTCTTGCATCGGTCGTAAAACGGTATCAATAAAGCGCTTCAGCTCATCCACTATAGGATAGTTGCGAATATCACGGAGGGCATATTGCAACTGCGTAAGACGCTCTATGGCGTGCGTTCGTCGACTCCTCCGAGTGTGTCGTCTTCGGCACTTTGCATGTGGATAAAACTTCACGTAATGTTCTGGCCGTATGACACGACCGAGCTTCCATAGATGACCAAAGGTCTTCAAGCCCTCATGTGTTAGCCGAACATCAATGAATCGGCACCCATTGTTGAAGACAAGAGGACGCTTCAGCAGAGGTGGACAAAAGTCATCGAAGGACTGGTCCGTGACGAAGTCGGCGACTGTTTGCCTCCGACATCTCATCCAAAGACGGTTCTCTTCCTTCTTTTCACATGTGTTCTCCATGATCTCTCCGTTCAAGAGGTAAAGGGCGAGCATAGATAGACTCATGCTGTGTGATCCTTGCCGCAAGATGGCGTCATCTAGCCTGATGGAGTATTGGCAGCAATTTGCGACTATTGCCAATCTGTCGTGGCAGAATTTGCTGCCGCGGGACTCGATATCCTTTATGATCCTCGGCGACTGTGACCAGGGGGCAGAATATCGTCCATCGGGCATGGTCTCCCGTAATAGGAACTCGTAATTAGGAGCTGTCTTGAGAATTCGTTCGGCAACATCGGACAGACCGGAGACGCTGCCATCCTCCTCTGCAATTATGCAGGCTTGGCATAGTTTTGTGGATTCCGTCTGGAACTCTCGAGATGAGATCGATATGTCGCCCACTACGTTACCGAAAACTTTTTCCTTCTTTGTCTTCTCCCTGAATATTTCACCATCTTCTGGATGAGGGATGAGTAGCGTCATTTGTCCATCGCAACGATAATTTTCCTGAAAAGTCCAGGCTCTTGTCCACCAAAAATCGGAGGTTATGGCGTCGAGAAGGGACAATGCTCTACGAAGCCTTTCCAGGGCGCTCTCTGCGAAGGAACTTAAGCGGAACTCTCCAGAAGCATGTTTTGACACAAAATTGCCCTGGAGAACGTCTGCGAGAAGGCAAAGCTCTTCGTGCGATTCGATCGGTCGCGCTAGCAGAGCAATGGGGTGATTGCTCAGCTTGTAGACCATATCCATTGCCTGCATACCCCGAGTCTTCTCTGGGCCCGGCTCCTGACAGATGCAGTGCATATCTATCCATACGTATTGCAGGCCAGACTGGGCTTCCAGGTATCGCCGTATGCGGTCGAAGACCCGGTTGCGGACCCCAGAAGGTTCGCGTTTCCCATTAGAGAGTTGTACTAGATGGTGGCCGGCTGTAGAATCCTCGTATGGTTCTGAAGCTCCCCATGTCCAAGACACAGCTACATAGTTCAGGTCTTTGAGGGCATTCAGGCCGCTTTGGCGGAGCCACACAGGGCGATCATCTTCAGACGCTGAATCGCGGGTTTGTGGGGGGCGTTTTCGGTCTCGGGTTTTATCAAGATACAGACAGTCGAGGTTTTGGATGAAATGAAGTGATTTCGATTGCTCGATAGTAGCGGTCTGGATGTCAAGGAGCTGGCGGACTAGGGACTGCCCACCAGCCGACTGTATCGAAGATAATGGTTGATCCTGATCGTCCACATCTATTCGTGGCTCCGCCATGGCGACTGCTGTATTACAAATGCTTTCTCTCAGAGCCAGCCCGAGAGTCGTTGACGAGTTCCAGTCCGTCGTCATTCGGCCGAGTGGGATGGATGGAATAGGGAGAGTCTCCGATAGCGCGACGCGTCAACGTTGGGCCTTTCAGCGTCCGCCGCCAGTGATGATCGACGGAGCGGAGGCTACGGAGCGCATGATGGTGTGGCTTAGGTGCCGGGTACGTAGTCTGTTTGTGTTCCCACTTCCCGTCGAATCCCTGTATTTTGCACCTTGTTACTCTAAATTCTTGACTCTTGACAATGCGCCAATGTTGGGTGTTTTCGGGGGCTATGCTAACCAACTGTTGGTTCCGTCAGTACGGATACGTCACGAAGACTTCTCTAGTTGACTGGATCAGTCATCACTTGTCGGGATGTTCCCGATCTGGATCTTTGTCCCAGTGGACAAAGTCGTAGCAGAGGCAGAGGCTCTGTTGAGTGAGAACGGGGTGATCTTTTTGCCAAGTTGCCAAGCAAAGTGTCCAGCCTTCGAAGGCTTAGCGTCCCCCAAATCCGTCCAGACCTGACTCTTTGCTTTGCCTTGGGGTCGTCTGCTTCCCCTGCCGGATTCTCTGAGAGAAAATTTCAGGCGCACATTTGGATGGTCGACGCAAGAATCTCATACCTAGACGGCTCATTTCTCTTCCAGCAATCTGAATCACTTCTACCAATGGACTAGCCCACTACACCTGCAGGTGATGAACTAGGTACCGGCACGACTATTCGCATCCGTACAGACCGTACAGAGTAGACCGGGCTGTAGAGCTAGACTGCAGGATTGTATAAAAATGGGGTTTTCTGTAACGCAATCACTGGATTAGGGATCGTGATTGCGCGTTCCAGGTCCCTCCGTGGAAAAAGTCTAACTTCTTAGCAGCTCGTCCACCGGTGCACTGCATGTGGGCGAGGCCGGGTTCGTCCATAGTCAAGCCCCGTCGAAAGCCTCCCGCTTCCCTTCCGAATATGCTTGTATCTCAATTTCGAGGAAGCCAATCGGCAGTTGCCCAACTTGCGTGGAGAGCTGACGATTTGGGAGCACCTCATTTGCCATTGAATGGAATGTTGTGTTCCTCACCCACCACCCGTGCATACCGACTGATCGGCTATCGTCAACAACCAGACAAGATGAAAAAGGCCACCTCGGCTGTGCGCAAGGGACTTACAATATGGCATGTAGAAAGTTTGGATGACGAGTCAACGGTTCAGCTGACATTTACGTGAGGTTCATTGGCCGTTCACCCACCAGATGCTTCGCCAGCACGGCCTCGACCCAGGGTATCGCTGGGATGCTGTTAGTTCAATCCATCATTGTTTGCTCATTGGACACTAGAATCAAGGTCTCTGCGAGTGTACGCGCGTGCAGGAAACATGCAAAATTATCTGCCATCCGGTACTTCGAACCGGATGATCGGTGTTGAGATGGGACGAAACAAGACACTGGGCAACTGTGTTCTGTTTGCCACCTTCTTTGGACCACCTGGAGCTCCCCGACGTTCTCACGGCTTGAAATATACGCGAGCTCAGAGAATCTTGAACTATCGTAATGCCGGATCCTGAAAGCCTTGGCCTTCTATTCCGCTTCCTTAACTTGAGCGTGCCAAGTAGCCAAGAGTCTGGAGACCCCGAAGAAATTAGGGTGAATCTGACGGCAACATTGACTGTGTTGGGAACTGGAATGCGTGCTGTTAGTGTTTTTGCTGGCAAATGTGCAGCTGGTCTATCCGACCCCCCGCAACCCGTGCTGAGCCACTTAAGACTCTGCTGCGTGTTAAAACACCGCAATCTACAACCACGGTACCACCTGCGTCAAACATAGACCTCGGCTGGCCTTTCTGAAAGAAATTCTACCTATGGTCCGGGCACAGAAGCCTCTTCGATGCAAGGCATCTTTTTCGCATATGGAATAAGCTCATTGGGCAGATAGTTTGAACCCCATTGATGTTCACAGTTTAACGTGACGGATGTTAAAGGCATCAGGGGGGTTGTTAGGGGAAAACAACCCGAAGACGGGAAGCCCATGCTGTGTCGAAGTCTATTTTTACAGCGTCACTTAAACAACACGCCAGCTTTGATTGGACAATGGCTTTGTGTGGACGCGCCTCGATGGCGGCTTTGGTCCAAGGGCGGGGAGAGTTTGCTTCGGCATGTGGGAGGACGGCTCCGTCGACGGACCAGGACAACGCAGAAAAGGAGGCTTAAACGGCGGCCCCGACTCCACTGTCTCCCGAAAGCTTGCGCGTAGGGCCACGTCCGGATGCTTAGACTGAGCAGACCGGGGACCCTCCGGTCACTGAGTGACTGAGGAACCGGGATGAAAGGGAGAGAAAAATTAGACTATGTGGAGATGAGCCCGGGGCTGATTTGTTATGCACACGACGTCACTGGCCACTACACCCAAACGGTAGAGATTAAGCCCCTGCCAAGGCGTTGGACCTAGAAGCAATTGACGATGTGAGCATGGCCTTTGCTCCAGAGAGAGTAAGGGGCAAAGGGGGCAACGTACTCGTAGTCGTCGTCCACACACACTACCATCCCACCTACCGCTGCACCGGTCATACTACCGAGGCTGCTATGACCCCACAGAAGAAGATGTTGACGTTGGCTGGGCCTGACATTGGGCTACCGGGGTGGCTTTACACTACGCTAACTCCGTAGCCGCAACGGGCAGCCCACGCAATCGAAAGCCTTCCGGGGCCACCGTCTACGTCTCCCGAGTCAACGAGGCTTGGTACGGCGATGGCGATATGACTTGAGCTCCACAGCTTGTACTCATGCGACGAACTGCCATCATGGCTATGGCACTGACGCGGTTCGTGGGGGAGGAGGGAGGTTGACGTTGACCGTAGATCAGAATGTCATGTCGTTGAGTATAATAACCCAAGGTCGAAGCCACCGAGAAACCAGAAAGAAGCTCTTCACCAGCATCACATTCACTCTTCACCAATACACCTTTCGCTTTCACTTCCAACAATACCCTCTTGTTCACTTCGACAAATCGTATAAACACCTTCTTTAACAAAGCTTCCATCCTCAGCTCTCACAACAACCACCACAATGCGTTTCTCAACCGTCGCTTCCGGCCTCGCCCTCCTCTCCGGCGCCGTTGCCCACCCCGGCCACGACCTCACCGAGGAGATTGCCGAGCGCCGCGCTTTCTTGAGCACCATCAAGCGCTCCAACCTTGCCCACTGCGCCGATAAGCTCGCCGCTCGCGGTGTCACCGCCCGCAACGTCGCCCGCCGCTCCGCTCAGCTTAACCAGGCCCGCCAGAAGCGCAACATCAAGCGCGATGCTGACACCGTCCTCGCCGAGAGCCACAACTCTACCGACCTCGGTTACACCCTTAACACCGACGCCGCCACTCTCTTCTCCGGCAACAACTCTTGCGTCTTGACCCCTGAGGTTACCCAGGGCCCTTACTGTAAGTCATCTCCCTTGAAGCCTACATCTCTTACCAGCCACTAATGATCCCTTGCAGACGTCTCTGGCGAGTATGTCCGCCGCAACATTATCGAGGAGCAGGAGGGTGTCGACATCGTCCTTGACTACCAGGTCATCGATGTTGACACTTGCGAGCCCGTTCCCAACGTCTACCTTGAGATGTGGCACTGCAACTCCACTGGTGTCTACTCCGGCATCGTCGCCTCCGGCAACGGTGACTCCTCCGACGAGACCAACATCGACAAGACCTGGCTCCGCGGTATCCAGGAGACCGACTCCGACGGTGTCGCCCAGTTCGAGTCTATCTTCCCCGGTCACTACACCTCCCGTGCCACCCACATCCACTTGATGGTCCACCAGAATGCTACTCTCTACTCCAACAACACCCTCGGCAACGTTATTACCGCCTCCCACGTCGGCCAGACCTTCTTCGACCAGGACCTCATCTCTGCCGTCGAGGCCTTCGCCCCCTACAACACCAACACCCAGGAGCTCACCACCAACGCTGACGACTCTATCCTGAGCGAGGAGGCTGCCACCGATGGCGTCGACCCCGTCATGGAGTACACCCTTCTCGGCGACAGCATCACTGACGGTCTCTTCGCTTGGATGGCTTTCGGTATCAACACTACTCAGGCCCAGACCATCACCCCTGCTGCTTCTCTCTATGCTGAGGGTGGTGTCGCCAACTCCAACTCTGGCGGCGGTGCCGGCGGTGCCGGTGGCTCTCCCCCTAACGGCACTGCTCCCGGCGGCGCTCCCGGTGCCTCTTCTTCTTCCGTTGCCACCACTTCCGCTGCCGCCTCTACTGATGCCGCTTCCTCTTGCTAAGCGTATCATTACCTGCTTGGAAAATTTGATCGATCGAGTCGCGAACATGCATAAGTAAGCGTTGCGCTGCAATTGCCCATAGAGATTTTCTCGGGGCATTGGTTGTCTTGGAAATTGCATATAGAAACGGCGTTGTTGTTTAGCTCTTGTATATCCCAAAACATCTTTGTACATTCATACCAATCAAACCATTTCATTGCTGGTAAACCGATTCCATTGCCTCTCACTGTGACATCGCCATTCATTTGGACATCTTCTGGGCTCTCTTAAAGCAGTCTTACAAATCTGCCCCTTAACCTTGACCAAGATCTACCTACTCCAGATACCGTTGCCTCAAAGTGCCTAGATATTCTCAACCGTAACTTTTACTAGACAGGCACAATGGAGCAAAGATGGTTTGACAATAGTTCATTTGGCTCTTGATCATCTGTGCTACACTGATACTATAGGGCTTCTCTTGAGCACTGCATCAATTCACTCAAGCGGTAGGTGTGGGCAAACAGGAGCAGGCCGAGCTCACACGTGAGATGACATTGGTCGGGCATGCCTCAGCGGCATAAGTAGGCACCACTGTAACATCGGCGATGACAGTCTTTGTAAACTCGCCACAGAACTTTTGGCTTTCCTCCAATCGATCCGGAACACTGGAGGCTCTGAGAGCACGGAGGCAGTTGTCTGCATTGCACGTCTTAGGCTTGCAAGCCTCCTTCTTCGTCATCTTCACCAAGTACGCTCCGCGTTCAATTGTATTGACGAAGATGAAGCCCGACTTGAAGTAGGCGTAGGATGACCATGTACCAGAGAACTGGATAGCTCCTCCCCCTGGAAGGGAGTCATCCTCGGGGTAGATGTCAAAGTACGCAATCTCGCAGACGCTTCCTCCTGTGGGATCTTGGGGTACAGATGAGACGTCCCACACTCTGACACCGGCGCCGTAGTTGGATTGAACGAGAAGGTCGCCGACGACGTATTGGTTATGGTCGATTCCCTTCACGGTGTGCTTGAACAGACCGGTCTGTTTGGGAGAATCGAGGGATCTGATGTCCCAAATGTACGTGACGGGGTACCCGTCGGCGGCAGGGCCGGCCAGATCATCCTCATCGTACTCGTCATCCATGAAGAGCCACTCTGTTGGAAGGTCAGCCACGAATCTCTGTCAGCCCGCTGTTCGAAGCGTCTCACCTTGCCAGTTCACGTCGTTGACCCAACCTTGGTGCGTGAATGTTGCGCCATCGTAGCTCGTGCGGGAAATAATCTTGGAGTTCTTCTTGTCGGAAACGTCGTAGATAGTCAAGGTGTCCTCGTTGTAGCCATAGCAGATATCGCGGCCTTGATATTTGGCATCAGGACCTCTGTAGATGAGGCATTGCGCCTATGCTCAATCATATCAGCTTACATGAACATAGTTACTCGGAGGCTTTCAGCTGGGCAGGGGTTTGACATACGTCGTGGACATATCCGTCTTGGCCATCGCAGCCAAGGGCAACGGGATTGCTAGGGTCCTCAAGACTGAAGAAGTGCAGGCCACCCATGCAGCCCTCCGCACGAGGCTGAACACCGACAGCAACAGCGTACTTGGCCTCCTCATTGACGACAACGTTGTGACTGCGGCCCAGTGGAAGAGATTCGATGAAGTGGCCGGTCAAGTCATTCTCATTGGTGAACAGAATGGGTGCTTCGGTGGGATCGATATCCAAGAGCTAGCATGACAAGTTAACAATTATAGTCGCCGATATGATTGGGAGAAGCCTCACCTTCGTCATGTCAAAGATCTGTATACCATGGCCCTCAAGCTCAGAGCCGATGAGCATGTAGTTGTGATACGGGCGGATTTCATGCCAGTATGCTCTATTGCCGACGGGCGAGTACGTTGGCCTGAAAGCGTACAGAGTTAGTCAAGTTATTCTTCCCTTTGCCCAAGTAGAAGGTCTCACAGGAATCCAAGGTTGAGCATCTTGCCCTCAGGCAGGATTTCGATAAATGCACATCCGTCAAACATGCCGCTGACTTTTACCAAAGAGTTAGCGAACTGATTGATTGATGTTTGGTCATCGATCTTCCTCACCAATGAACTCGCGACCAGATTCAGGATCAGTCCATCCCCATGAAGAGCTTCCGCTCTTCCCACGGTAATCGGCATTTGGCGAGCCCAGTTCGGCGTGATTAATGAAGTCATAGAGATCCATCTAAATTAACAGATCGTCAATGAGACCGTCGCGCCAAAATGGCCCGTTAAAATTATCGTGAGATAAACCTACGTTTTTGCATCTAAAGTTGTGCAACGGGCTATCAGGAAGGGCCTCGGCATAGCCATCGACGCACTTGGTGTAGCCTAGCCTGGGCCATTGAGATGAGTTCATGAGGCCGACAGCTTCTTCAGCTTCCCAGTGTGCCTGGACCAGTGTTAGCTTCATGTTTGCGGTCGCCTCACATTGGCCGAGTGATTACAATTTTCGCGGACATGAGTCTATCGTGGATGACACCAGAGTCATAGAGCTCTATATGGAGTCAGTAAGGCCATCGATACTATAAGATTCATGAGTCCTACCGGCAGCACGAGCCTCATCCTTGGGGAGCTCTCTGCCATGAACCACAACTGCCGTCAGAGCGATAGCTCCGATAACTGAAGTAGACAGCATGATGCTCAACCAGAACTCGTCGTTACTATTGTGACTTGGATGCGGGTACGATGAGGCTCTTCGAAGGTTCAGGGTCGAGGATACTGAGAAATTACCCTAGAGGCCGGCCATTTCAGACCGATCATGGCGGATTCTGAATGCGACGTAGACTCATTATGTACTCGTTGAACTCCCAGCCCCGTGACATCACACATTGACCATAGGTTTCTCTCATGTTTCCCAAACAGGCAGGAAATGAACCTCTTGGCAGACAGCGGTGTTCGCAAGTCTCCAAAGACAGCGCCATTCAGACCACTGTTTATCTCCGTGTCCGAGTTGGCAACTCTTGACATGGAAAAAACCTCGTTTTTGTCAGGGTTGATACCCCGCCTTCCATCGGTCTAGAAGTAACGATCCAGTATGGATCTGGAAGGAGACAAGACATTTAGGTGGTCAAGCCAAGACGGCCAAGCTTTCTAGATAAGCACAAGTCTTCCCCGCCGGAAACCGAATGTAACGCTGCGGAACATGTTGATGGAAATGGAAACCCCAATCGTGAACATCAAAATCAAATACCAAGACAGCGTGCAGGCAAAGATCTTTTTGAGGCTCAGCAATGCGCCAGGAAATGTTGATAGCTTCCACTACGCCGTTGGATCTAAATCTTCATATGGCTGGTAGGGGTTCGGACTTGGAGACCTCAGATCTTCATTACAGCGACGACTTTTCTACTTCGATACTAGAATTCTAGTATTCTTGTGCTTATTATATCAATTATAAATCAATTATTGATAATGAATGTGTATTCTACGACACAAAGTGATGAGTTTCTGGTCTAGAACTGCGCAAGTGTCGTGGACCGATTGGACAGACCCAGTATTAGAGGACACAAGTTTCTCCCGACTCACACACTGAATTCGGAGCTCGCAGTACTTAGCAAGCAGTGCAATTTACCTGGCGGTCATTGATAAAAGGCCATAATTTAGCACCAGGCAGCAAGCTACAGATGATCGGGCTACAAGTTGAGTCAGCTCTTTTCAAAAAACATCAAAGGTCATCATCTCCTCAGATCTAAGGTGACTCTTGATTGATATGTAACGTCCGAGTGCAGCTCATGGCTCGAAACTTAGGAAGAGATAAAAAACAAAACAACACTATGCTGCTAATCATTTTCTGATGACCTCATAGAGTAACCTCGCTGAATGGAATAGTGAGACGATAGTATTCCTAGAGAACCAGTGATCACATGGAATACAATTGAGAAGAATGTACGTATTATACACAAACCACGCTTAGAGATCATGTCTCTAGCGCGCCCGACGTTCCAAACCTTCTTACAAATAGTTTAATGAGATGGGTCAGAGTTCAGCTCACAGCCTATGTAGGTTTAATGAAAGAGTGCTAGAAAGCAGAACAAATCTAGTCTAGGCCCGGTTCTGGAAAGCTCGTCAGGTCGCCACCAAATGTCGAGCGGGCGTCCGCGTCGCAAACGCTGTTGCAGATGGGGCATTCCAGTCTTTCTGGACCCTGAAAACCAGCACTCCAGATGCTGCTTCTTTTCTAGAAGCACTGGCCACATTCCATACCGACCACAGCGTTTCAGAGCTGATTTTGAGATGTCGCCCGAAGTCGAATGTGGAAGTTTGACTATGATGGGATGAAATCCCAAATGTTTGGGAAATTTCTAAATCTGATTTCCAATGGGCAAGCAGCCTCGGACCAATACTACAACGGCTTTCCCCGAGAATATCACACATGATGGGATGATCATCAGCCCTGGGAGAGCGGCACTGGGGAGACAAAGTCCGAGACCGAGCTCAGCAAATGTGGATTTGAATCGAAATTCGTTAGTCAACGAAGCTAACTTTGCAGTCGTGAACGACTCATGTGGCTGTTCGCTTATTTGATTGATGTATCTTTAACTTTAGTTTCACAAAAGTGTGTACATCTGTCGTGCAGGCTCTGTCATAATTCGTCCGCAAGCCACCTAATCACACGGAGCGACTCCATTACGCCCTGGTGCCTCTGGCTTACTTCCCGCAGTGCATAGTCCCCCATCAGAGCCATCGGAGAAAAGGCCCCTGACGCTTCCGAGCACCCGTCTATATCCTGGCTTATCCCATCTTGGAAGTCAAAGTTGTATGATGTAGCCGAAGTCGAGAATCCTTGACCTCGAGACTGGCTAACGGCAGGTGGTGTCATGGAAACGGAGTTGAAGCGGCATTCCGTAGATTTGTGTAGTCTCTTCATCATTCGAGACAACAAGAATACGACCGAGTTGACGTCCAAGTCAAAAGAGCTCACAACGTTAAATTTGTTGAGGTTTCCGTTGGGTGTGTTGTTGCCCAAAAATGGTTGTGCCAGGCTGAAGTCACTGCCGGGACTCGGGCCCTGGCTCTGCCGTGAACATTGAAGACGGCCCCTCAGAGCGCCGAGGAGTTCTTCGTAAGAATCCAGGAGAAGAAGATAATTTGTCATAAAAAGAGAGATAACGAGAGTCAGGTTTGGTGGCTGGTGTAGATGTTGTACTGGCTCTTTCGGAAGCTGTGGTACTACTTGTGTGGCGAAGCCGGAAGTGTCGGGTGCTCCGGTCCAGCAGGATGGCGGTGAAGTAGATCGTCGTCCTTCCACGCTCGGCCTCACTAGTGGCAAGCTTTCCACGACATCAATGAGAGTTTCTGTCGAGTGCACGGTCGTGTTGATCAGTGTCGTAAGCCCGTCTGCGTCCTGTGCTCTGGTGATGTGCCGTGAGAACAGCAGAGACTGAAGATCCATGAGCCGCTGTGCTGCCGACTCGGATGATCGTGAAGTTGCTTCTGGTGATGAAGGCATAGTATCGCCGGCAAAGGATTCGGCGTGACTGAACTCGGATGGGTGATCACATCCTGGAATCCAGCTATCTTCTGTGTTGGTGGGTAAAGAGCCAATCGTTGTTGGGGGTGTAAGTGGCAGGTCGTGAGGTTGTGCTACAAGACTTTCATCTTGATGAGCCAAGAACCCCAGCGTGTCCGTATCCATCCACTCCGTGGGCATCAGCTTCGTGTCATTGCTTTGTAGGAGTCCGAGTAAAGGGTCCTCGAAGTTGCCAGTCCAAGTTCCATCTTCCTCCGGATGGCTCGGTATAATTCCTATCCCATATTGTTGGAAGTCGCTCGCATCGTGGACGTTGGATGGAAGCACTTCGGGCGGGCTTGTGATTGTTTGAACAGTGGTGTTGCTCGACATTGTCGAGGATCGTCGGAATGTGGTTGAAGGGGTTGACTGCGCAGCTTCCGGGTTCAAGCGCTTCTTTGCCGGTCTTCCCATGCGCCGCGGAGGGCTATAGAAACAGTCGATCTGGAGTCGTTGACATCTTTCGCACTTGGCCGCTCCAGTTTCTCTGGAGCAACGGCTCTTGAGAGCACGGCAGCGATCGCAGGCACTTCTTTGAGAGAACAGCATGTTGGCAAAGCGTTCATGTAGATGCACGACAAGGTCGAAGGGACGAGTTCAACTCAGAAGCGCCAGGTGACAACGGCCGAAGTTTATATGACTTCGTTCCCGCGACTTGCGTACTACTCAAAATAAGTCAATTTTGCCAAGACATTCTCTTAGCCGCGCCAAGTTACCTGCGCCGTTCGACTCATGTCAGGGTTCTGGCGTCTTGCGCGGGGCGCGGGGGACACGTCAGATCTAGATGAGATGTCTCGGTTGAACCTACCCTCCCTCTTTGGGGACTAACCATCATGCGCATTGTCGATTTCTTATTTTAAGGTTTCAGGGAAACTTCCAACGTATGACATTGTCGATTCAGTACTTTGGTACCAGTATGGCTGTCAAGACTGCGAATTCGACTTGGCAGAGACATTGGCTTTACCGCAACTCTGGAAAAGGTGCCAATCATTCGATAAGTGGGTGGTGTGCAGGTTAACCTGCTGAGTGGGATCGCGTTCCCCTTAGCTCGACTTCAAAGTTCTGACGAGTTCCCAGGGCTCTGCAACCTCGGCGAATGCTATGCAAACTCTCTTTGGAATTGGGGTCCACCACCTCGCAGTGGTGTGTAACAAAGGTGGTGTGGCCCGGTGAGGCGTTCTAATCAGATCAGAAAAAGCTTCCTTTGATTGCCTGGTAATTACCGAACTTTCAACGCTCCTCGCGCCATCATGTCATGTTTTGTTACCTATCTCGCCAAAGGCACGGTGTATCATCAGTCAGGTGTTGTTTGGTGACAGCTTCATGGCTTCCCGTCTTCTAAAAACAACCCAGCGCCAAGGCCAAAGCCCCTCCTGTGGGGTCCCTATTTGGGGATCGACTTGGCCAAGAGATTGATAGTGGTTTGGTATAGGAAGAGGTGAAGACTGCATGTGTGTGCATAGCATACTCCGTACTTAGTCAACAAAAGACAGCGAGTCCAAAACGCCCGACCTATTTGGACGCCTCAACTATTCGTACGGTAGGTAGTCTTGGCGGGTTTGAGCTGCTCGAGTCGGCACCTTTGGCCTGTGTGCCCCGCCAAATTGTTGGCCCTGTCCTGTTGCGAGCAAGTAAAATAGGGTTTCTATTTACCCGACTGTCATATTCCCATTAATTCCAGGGATGGATACCCATGACTGGGCCCAGCCTTGAGCCCGGCGAGCCGCCGAACGTGCTCGACGGCTGCTAGTGTCCGCGGGCGCGGGCAGCGGGCTTCTCCTGCCGCTTGATCGGCGCTTGCAGCACGTGAATCTTTGTCTGTAGGCTGTGGCTAGAATAAGTGACGTTGAAGCATGGCTGGGGCTCTTGGCGGCGAGAGTAAAATAGATTGCTCAAGAAACAACCAAGTGTTCCCCCCTTGGCATTAGGAAAGGGAAACGCGCCTGAGGTAACCTTGAGTGGTTGGCGTTTATCTGTACGGAGTACGAATCCATGATCAAGCTCTCTCCCATCGGGAAACAGCCGTAATGTTGCGTTGCGTTGCGTTCAGTGTGTATCCGTATACACACTGACAATGGTGGATTCCGCTTGCGGACTTGTGAAATAGTACTCATTGCGAATTCGGTCTCGGGCATATCGAAAGCGGCAAAAGCCAGCATCAGAAGCTGTGGGACGACAAGATGAACTCGCAGATCGCGCGAACTCTATCATTGGACTCTCTCGTTTTCGCCAGCGAAGTGTGAACCTGTGAAGCACGGTCCAGTGCTTCCAATCTCACGCTGCGGGCGTGCCGTTGCTCCTTGAGTCAAGCCCAGCGATGTTGTGTCCTTAACTGAAGTTGACCAGCGAGACGGCCCGAGCGCATTGGGCAGCCCAATTTTACCTTTACTCCCGCGGGACACCTCTCAGGTTTGTTTCAGCTTGCCTTGCGGTACCATTTCTAACTAAGTATGGACTTGGGTACGACCGATGAGGCCTAGGAACGAGTCGTTAGGGGTCCCTTTTCAAGGGTAACCACTATTAAAGGGGCCTCTCAACGGGGTTACATATGGCCGCATCGTACAAGCCATGCTATGCTTGAATTTCGTAGTTCCTCCTTTCCCCGATGGATATGCGTGCTATGGCAGAATGCTGTGCGCCAGCGTATCCGTATACCAGATGAGCTCATTGGGTAGCCGTAGCCATGCGTATCATCGAAATACTGTATTCGCACCTGATTGCTTTCAAGATAGGATAGAATGATGGACTAGGCTCGCAACAGCCACGTTACTTTGAGTACATGCGCGACGTCTCCGGACAACCCGAGGTTCAGAGCTCCGGTAGCGCAAGACGGCGGCACCGTGAGCGATCTGCAATCAATCATGTTATACCCTCGCAAGATGTGGGCTAGGCGTAGCTTAGCTTTACCTAGACACTTTGACCAGTCAACACGGAATCAGACACTTGATTAAACGCCCTGTTTTTCTGCCATGGCACACGCTCGCTAAATGTTGAATCTCTATCGCTGTTCGTCGCATGATTCGGAAGCATCTGCGAAACCCGAGCCCTTTTAGTCTCGCAAGCTTCGTCCTTTCGTCTTTAATTGACGCGTCAGTCATAATTCGGGTGGTTCCTTCAGGTGAACTTAGATACATCGGACCGGAGAACGCCGTAATATTGTTCCCTATTGCGAAGCTTGTGATTCTTTCAGTCGCCACGGGGTGGACGACTGAAGCCTCATTTTCTCTCCTCAGGACCAGCAACATCCCGTCGGCTTCGAGTGCGAGTGATCCATTAGGCTCAACTCTAAACCCAAGGATTCTTGATGAGCAAGCGGGCCGCTATCGAACCACTTCAACCCCGTCGGAACGATTAGTCAAGCGACGTATTTTCGTATAGGTAAGTAGTCCGTAGTCATTATCTCGATACTACTAACGTGTATGGTCAACTTTCAAGACCTCTGCACTCATTTCTAAGCAAGGAACTTTTGATAGAACTTGGTAACGGCGCTCAACACTAGCAAGGACCACCATAAGAATGTCCAATCTTAGAAACGTCAGTGCCCATGAACCTGAGCCTCGGGCTCTCGGCAGTTCTCCACGGGCTCGAGTCATTCTCTCTTTTCCTCACCTGCTGACTGCCTATTTCTTTTTTGGCCGAATGTCTTTCCACCCCATACCCCACGCGAAGCAGAATGATGCTATAGCCAGACCGAGGGATGGATAAACTCCTTGTCGATACTCGATACACATGCTAAAAACACTTCTGGTAGTTTTTCCTCGGGTACGACTTTACGGAACCCGGTTGCCCCGGCCTCAGTGATTTTCGACGTATCGAGATTTGGCGCGAATTTAGGTAGGTCTTGCTTCAGTGCCCCTGTAAAAATGGCGTTACTTACTGCCAGGGCCACAGCTGAACCCATGAGCTGAGAAGCGTAACAAATGATATTCCTACTGAAATCTGTTCCGGAGGTAAGTTCGCCTGAATAGCAATGCTTGGCTTAAAGTCATTCTGTTAGTCGGGCTTGCGGTCAGTGACCGCTGCATTGGCAAGCGGGTCTCACCAGTTGTAAAACAATGCCTCGTCCACCACCCGTGATGATTTGATAACCACTGGGCCACCGAAGTCGTCGGTGTGAGTGACGTGAACAAGCCACTAGCAATAATCGTTGCCACTGTGCCTGCGACAGCCCACGGCAGATAATACCCGAACTTACCGACTTGAAGGGTGACAAGGACGTTAGCTAAACTCAAATTATATATGGAATAATTCCATAGGCTTCCGTACCTAGCACGCCTCCGCCGTAGGCGAAAGCTAGCTGTGACAAGATGCTTGGCAAAACGTTGATCCCGCTCTGAACCGGCGTGGCGCTTTGTACTGCCTGGAAGTATGTAGAGCGGGAGCAGGTAGATCTGGATCATCGCCGAGCCAACAAAGGTGAAGTTTGTAGCGGCTGCGGACCAGACGGGCCTCTTACCGGCCATTGATGATGGGATGAGCCCGTCATCTCCTTTTCGATAGTTCCAGGCCAAGAATGTTACGAGAGCCACAGCAGAGCCGCAGAACAATTCTATCATCGTGGGGCTGTTAAAAGCATATTCGTTCCCACCAAGCTCGAGGGCCGTGAGAAATGACACCGCAGCACCAGCGCATAATAAAAAGCCGGTAAAATCTAGATACGTGTGCAATTTCGCAATGACCGCCATAGGACTCGGTTTCGGCACCTGATCGGGAATCTCGCACCATGCCAGAAACAGAAGGACGACGCCGCCAATCGGGAAGTTGATGTAGAATGCTATTTGAGTTTAGCAGGTACTCCGTAATACTTAGAGTCGTCTCAACTCGGATGAACTCCATATCTTACTCCAACGCCAATTGGCATAGTCGGTCAGTACTCCACCAAGAACAGCTATGTGTTAACGTTAATTAGTATTTTTGGCGAGACTTTCTCCTTTCTAGGGTGGTTTTTTGCACGTACGACCGCAAACGCTGCCAGAGTTTGCAACTTTAGTTTGACGTTAGCTACTGCTCTGAGGGTCAATAGCCTATACGTACGTCCGATGACCAGTCCCATAAGAGCTATTAGACAACTTGAATTAGCCAAGCATTTGTCAGACAAAACTCGCAAGGATTGATCTAACCAGGTCTTTTCTCTAGAGGTACTGATCCGGCGATGATCGTCAGGCCACCACTCATCATGCCCGCACTTCCTATCCCCGCGATGATTCTGCCCATGATCAGTATCAGGGACGAAGGCGTAGCCCCGCATACAAGAGATCCAATCTCGAACAAGACTAGGAAGACGAAAAAAGACCACTGCATGGATTAGATTGGATTTGGAAACATATTCGCTAAGAGCCGGGAAAGCCGCACCTTTGAGCTGAAGTAGCGGTAGATTTTACCTGTGAGCGGCTGGAAAGCGGCATTAGAAACGTGATAGGCACTGCCATACCAACCGATATCTTGCAAAGAATGAAACTCGTCAGTTGTCGCTGGAATAGCCTACAATGCTATTAGCAAATAACATGCTTCACTTATTTTCGGGGTGCTCTAACGGGAACAATGATAGAACTGTCAAGGAACATCAACCAGGCAACAACAATTACACATGTGATGACAATCCAGAGCTTGGCACCTGATAAGTACTATGGTATCGGTGTCACTGGTATATCATTGTTCGGACCTTTGCCCTTCTCTTGGTCGTTCTCCGTGCTTGGACCGGCCTCCTTTTCTGTGATCGTTGTTCCTGGACTATGTCTCTCGTTCTCGGCGACAGACGGGAACATCTCTGTGGACATGAGACTGAGGTCTATTGATAGCAGCTGTGTCTCCGTCATTGTCACAATGCTCCTTCTTCTTCGTGTGGATATGGGGGCAGACTCGGGCTCTGTGTTCCGATCCATCTTGTGGCTATTCGAGGATGATTATTGGCAGGAATAGGGGCCTACAATCGATGGGACTTTTTGTATCCCCTCTAAAATTGGGACTTGGACTTGGCAAAGAAAGCTTTTCACAATCTGCATCGCCCGGAATGGGACGCAACAACCGTAATATCCGACGGGAATGATTACCAGTTCCGAAAAAGCTCCATTTAAGAAGCTTCCTTCAAGGCTTACAGGCTGACCAGTCGTAGTAAACACGGGGAATCCCCGACCGAATAAAGTTCATTTCATGGAAAAGATCCCTCGAAAGTAAGCACACAAGGCTTTGGACTGCGCTGTAGGGGGCATCTTTTTTGTCGCAGACAAGTCAAGCATAGACACTCACGACTCATGAGACGCATGGGTGATGCTGCTTGACATTTTCATCTGTGTTTAGGAGAAAGCTTATTGTCTTTAGCCAGCGAATCAGTCGCTGCCGCGGAGCACGCAGGCTTAGAAGTGGCCCAGGCTCAACATCAAGCTTCATTCTACTCCCTTCTCTCTTATTAGTGCTGCAACCTTGAGTCGGCCGAACAGACCCCCACAAGCCGGAGGTTCTTTTGGAGCATTACAATGGGTCACGGATCCGGGGAGACCTGAGAGACGGAGTAGCCCGGTGGCCGAGCTGCTCGCAACTAATTTGAGGGTCCCCGGGAGATGACTAACACTTTAGATGCGTCCTGGGACCCAAGCAGTGCATGATGAGGATACAGAGAAACTCGCCTCCAGTTTCCAGCCAATCAAGTCAACTTAAGTTGGCAAGCATCGTTGCGAATCTTGAACTGCACTCAACAGCAAATTTGTTCACCTGATAGCCTGGATGGTTGTAGAAAAGGTTGAGCGGTTTTCAAAAGTGCTGGAGAACAGGGAGTGTCGAACTGCCGAACATGGTTTGATACAATTGCTCGATTTTAGCCAAGACCTCCAAGCTTCCTACACCACCATGTACCTGAAACCACTGCAGAATTTGCTGCTCTTGGGTTCGAATTACGCTCGACGCTCGGTGAATACTAGGAATTCTTGCTCGCCGAGGGGATCACTCAAGGTGGAACTGGTCGGATTAGTGGTTTTGATCCATTGTGCAAAGTCATCAGCGAAGTTTCCCCCTCTTGATTGTAGGGTGTGCGAGTTCGCAACGTCGCGTATGGGTCCTGTCCTTAAAATAGCTGCACCAGCCGCACAGCCAACCGCGCTCTCAGATAGCACGCGACCCTTTGCCAAATCGGTACAACCAACCAACAAAAGAGCTAGCCCCCAGTTGACATGTTTGAGATGTATTAGATCTTGGCAGCATACGATTAAGCATGAATCTTTACCCTGGAGCGTTCCCGACGTAGGACGATCATGGCCGATCATCAGGAGTAATCCAGGCCTCATACAGCCACACCTTCAATGTGATCCACTGATGAACACCTTGATGGTTTATTCCTTTGAGCTATACTAGGTTATCATCAGTATCTCATCGTTTTCTTCCCATAATTAGAACTTCTGGAGATGGTTTTGATGTCTGCACAGCTACAATAGCCGGAATGAAGGGGGCCTCGAACCACAACCAAGTTGAGGAGTAATCACCGCGGAATTGATGAACGGCATACCGTGGGATGATATTCGAGAGACGGTGCCACTTCTACCCGCAGTCCACTGTTCGGGAAGCCAAATTTAGAATCAGATGACTCTACCTTATCTACCTCTAAGACGGGATGACAAGCTCCCCCGTCATCAAGTAATCAATCGAGACGTTCTTTTGTTTGACGAACTCCCCCTCCACCTTTGGCACATACCCCGGAAAGCTATCCACAATTTGGCTCAACGTCCCCCATGAAGCCTGCCCATTAATGTCATACGTCTGAGAGCTGTTGAAGCCGCTAGTGTTGAGGTTGTAGTACAGCATCGGGAACTCCTCGAAGCTTGCGTTGGCATTGACGTGAGCAACGCGAGATCCGAACGGGTCTATCACGAAAGTCGCGCCGATAGCTGCGACAAAGGAGTAGGCACCGCTGAGAACAGAGTAGACGCTCAGGGTGCCGGTATTGACCCATTCGTTCTCCCACCAAAGCGAAGTCTCGTCTCCGACGCCGGCCAGATAGGGGAAAGGCGCGAAGTGAACATTTTCTCGCTGGACGTACATGTTAAACGTCATACTGGGGTACATATGCCTAGATTGAAAGTGGTATGGTCAGCTCCGGCACTCGTAGGAGCAAGGCGCAGTCAGTCGGGTCAGGTGGGCTTTGTAGACGTACTCTCCGCACTCCAGCATTCCCCATCGGCCGTAGTCAGTCTCTAAGACTTTGAGATCCTCGGCCACACCGTCACTGAAGAAGTATCGTTCTGCGCCTGACGGCCGAAGCTTACGGCGGTGGTGCATGATATTTCCTTGAGGGTCTATCAATGCCTGAGACATGTACATGTAGTCGCCGTCAACTTCTGCAAAGTTAAGATTGGCGTAGATGCCCACTGCCTGGATCGCGGCAATCAGGCGGTTCCACTGCGCATCGCCAATCACGATGGCATTCTCAATGTACGACGGAAGGTAATCGCGCGTGAAGTTGTAGTGGCTGTCCGAACCCTTGGGGAATCTATTCGAGATGGTTCAGATACTTGCATTCGATATTTAGATGGTTGAGCCTTAGGCTGAGTTGGGACTTACCCGGGGAACCAAAGCTCTGGAAAGACGACAACATCGGAACCGCTAGCCTTGGCCTCTTTGATCAACTCGATTCCAACATCTACACATTCGCTGATGTTGAAAGTGATGTCGGTGTAGTCGTAGTTCGTGAGAGGCAGCGGCCAGTTCGGCGGAGGCGTACGGATTAACGCGATTGTCAAGTTTGATCGGTCCACGGTGCTGCTATTTGAAGTCGGAGCAGCAATCGCCGAGCCAAGGGCCGAGAGTGCTAAGATATAGCGGGAAAACTTCATTATGTTGGGTCTCTTCTGAAGTTAGAGTCGACCATTCGGGTTGTCAATGGTGTAGTCTGGGTGAACAGAAAAATGCGGCGTAGTCCATTATCCTCGTCGACTTATATGACAACGCAACCTACCTTCAACTCGAGCTGCCCTGCATCATCATGGCCTTATTGATGCCTTCATACGTAATACAATCAATCGGTCTTGATTAATGATATTCATGATAAGCCAGTTGATGACCCTGAAAATGAGCTCATTATCCCACTATCCTACATCACCCGGTCGGTGAATGGCATCAAGATAGCCCAGAGATGGGCCACTTGGGCCACTTGCCAAGTCTACAACGATGGAAGATTGTGGCTCGATATTGAAGAAATCCCTATCATGATTAAACTAATCATGATAATCTATGATGAGGCTGTACACATCTACCGACTGCAGTGCCGATGGCTCACGGGGGTCCGTTGTGTGGATCTCGGGGTTTGCTCCGGCGTCGCTGCTCGGAAGATATCCATTAGCGTCTGGTTTTCGGTGATTGAGAATAGTCGGACCGGATTACAAGTGACCCTCACTAGTACGGCGCACACTCCCTTGGCTCCGAAGATCGCTGATAAGGATGCTGTAGATTTTCATCGGCTTGGTAGGTAAGGCGAGGGCCATCTGCTCAGCTGGCCCACATTAGGCTGTAAAGATCAGCTCGAGTTCCAAGTCGGTGTTTGAAGCAATCAGAATGGCGGTCAGGTATCCATTAAGAGTTACATAATTCGAAGGTGAAATCGTCCGCTCAAACTTATCGGAACTATTTTGAAACCGTGATAGTGGTGCTGTCTTGAAAACTATAGCAAACAGGTAGGATCCCGTCGATCATCGTTGACATGAGAGTTATACTTCGAGGCCCGGCTTAATTCCCATTGAGCATGGGTTTGATTAGCTACGATTAAAGCGAGAATTCGAGCGAGTGCTACTACAGAAGTTGAGTAGCCGTGCAGAGGGAAGTGTACTACATAAATAAAACAAGTAAAGTGACTGGTCGGGTGAGTACAGCATAATGATCGTGAATGAACCCGTCGCTACTCATCTCTCCCATATGTTTCTCTGCCCACCTTCGAATTGAGGAACTTGTTCCTGTCAACAGTCCTCGATTAGCATAAAAGAGGGATCAGCGGGGTTTAGTTCACGCATACAAGCATACCTCTTATCCGCCCAGTACATCACGTACCAGGCCGCAGCCAGAGATGGCCCGAAATACCAGACCTGGCTCGCGAAGCGTCGCCATATATTGAAGACAGCACTATGACCAGCCTGGGCCATAGGATTTAGACGGTTTGGTGCGATTCCGTACGTGATAATACCTCTTTGCTTCTCGCCACCTGAGACACATTGTTGATCAATCATCACGAACCCCTGCATACCTTAATACTTGGTTGCGTATGAACGATGAGTTGTAAATCAAAAACGCATACCGATGTTTCCCCACCATCCTTTGTATCTGATTGAAAATTATTTAGCTAACGTGATTATGATAAATCTCTTCCATATTGGTCCATAGCATATCAAAGAGCCGTTGGCACTTTTGAGAGGCTAAAAGGGGCTTCACTCACACACCATATTGTCCAATTGGGACATGTGGGCCGTTTCGCAGGGACTGAGTTGACTTCATTGTGCAGAGAGCAGAGTTAGAACCGGAGAGTCATGATATCCTGCAGTAGCTGGTGCTTCGAGATAGTGTCAAACTTGGCGAGATTCGCTATTGTCGAACCCGTCCCCCCTACCTTTATGTGCAACAGCGCTGGGGAGCAGTCTTCGGACTCACTGTTCGGACTCACGGTTCGGACTCGGCCTAAGAACTCCGTGCCCTTTTCTTCAAAGATGGTTGAAAATAATTGTGACATAACCTCCGAGGCCTCAAATAACGAATAGAGTTTCTGGATCATTCATCACTATTCCCTTGACCTCCCACGACGATAGAACGGCCGGATGACTTGGAACGTCACCAATTGAACATAACATTACTTAACTTCAACACCGTTCTACTACCTAATTAAACAATCCCCAAGAGCCTTAGCTGTGTGGCATTGGCATGAATCCACCCCAGTCTAGGGACGGTAAGTCGCTTGCCCAGAAAGCTCCGATATCCTCCAAATAATTCTCACACTCTGCATTTTGAACAGCGCTAGCGGGCTCAAAGGTTGTTCCCCCAGTCATATCCGATAGCAACGTCTTCGCGTCCGCGATTGCCTCCTTACATCGCTCTGTCATCTCATCCTCGACGGGTTTGCCTTTCAAGACAGCTTCTGCTGCAGCAAGCACTATTGCAAAGAATACATAATCTTTCACATTCTCTTGCCCTGCCTCGATTCTCCGTCTGGCCCATGCAACACCAGCCTTCAGTAGCCAACGCTCTTCCACGACACGTAGAGCCGACCCTGTCGCTATCTTGCCTCTTTCTGATATCATGGTGTTGAGATCTGCCGCGATCACACTGATAGCAATATGCTGTGCCGACCGCAAGGATCCTGAGCCGCAGACTATCAATCGGCCAAATTCGGGACAGTAGTCTTCGTCATTTGCTTGCTGTATAAGCTCCGAGAGTGACTCGTTCGTGTCGGATACTGGCATAGTCCTGTATGTCAGATGCAGCGCAGCATCTATGCACTCGCGTCGTGAGTGGGAAAAGACAGAATCAGGTAGAAGCATGTAAGGCAAATGCAGCGCAAAGACGTATCGCATAAGTACCATCTCGCACATATGACAAGTCAATAGCGAGGTATTCTTGCCCAAGTTCTTGAGCGTATTTGTCAAAATCTGGCGGGTGGCGGTAAGCTGCGGACTAAGCTGTAGGACTGTGGCGTAGTTCGCCTCCTGCTTGACCTTGTTCCACAATTTAGCGATTGTCAGTCTCAACGTCAGGGACTGGCCGAGAGCAATTTGCAGAGAGCTATCGGTGTGAAGACTGGGGTTCTTCGGAATGGGACGGACTGTAGACTCGCAGTGCAGCTGGTCGTCGTTCAGATTTGAGGGTAAGCTACAGTCAAAGTCCTCGGATGAGATGAGAACGGGCTGGCCAGACTCTATGCTTGCTTCCAGAACCAGCTCCAACACAGTAGTCCAGAGACGGCGTCGAATCTCGATCTGAAAAGGTAACATCCGCGGCAGCCCAATCGGATCTCGGTGCAACCCGATGCATATCGCAGACCGAAGAAGGTTGCCTGAGAGAGCTGAGATCCGGTCCCCATAGAGTGACTCTGTCGTCTGTTGAGCCAGCTGCAAAAGACACATGATCTGAATGCCCGAGATACTTGGCTGTGATTTCTCAGCGTTGGTAAGCCAAGATTGGGCCTCGTATATCCATTGAAGAGCGTACGGTCGAAGAGAGAACAGATCATCGTATGTTAGAGCTCCAAGTGCAAAGCAAAGCTGAAGTCTAACAATGCATTCGTGGTTGACCGAAGCGCGATCTTGTAGAAATGTCTCGAGCTCTCTCTGCAGCGTCGGCACATGATTAATCCGATAGATCTGCTCAAAGCTCCGTAGGTAATTCTGAAGTAACGCGGCTGACACGGCGCGATCGAGTATGTAGGAGCCATATTGCCCGGGAGAGTTTGCGAGTATTCTCCGTGTTCTGAGGCATTCTCCCAGACTTTTGCAGTGTATGAGGCCCTGCCAACACTCTTCCTGCTTGACCATTTCCTTGTCCAGCCACTTCAGCGCAGGCAACATCTGTAAAGCCGGTGAGTGGACGGTGCCTTGCATGTCAACGCGACAAACTGCTATGACTTACTAGCATCACTGAGTACAGCCAGTGACTTGGTGAAATATATCGTGATTTAACAATCATTATAGTCGGTAAAGATGTAAGCTCGGTGAGTGAGCAGATAGTAGGTGACTTCTCGGCTGGATAGAGTGGCTCTGGTGCTGGTCGGCGCGTAGAAGTCTCAGTCATCGCGAGAGGGAAGACAGTCCCCGGAGTCGAGATCTGACTGAGCAAGACGCTTCCGAATGAAGACGAGTGCCATGTTCCATCGGTGCTGCTGGTGAAGACCCGGTCTTGGTCCGCGGGCTGTGGTGTTTGGGCTAACATTCCATGTTCCGGGTCGGACTGGCGCTGTTGGATGTTTGACGGACTACCCTGTCGGTAGTTGATATGGTTCTCCGGACTGGCAAGAGGAGCATTGGCAGGATAGACACATGTCCGATTCTTCGCCCGTTGACATTTGCTACAAGGGCGATTGTGGTCGCACCGCAGCTTTCGTTTCCGGCACTCGATACAGGCAAGGGCCCTTCGACGTCGTACCCTAGTCTCTTCACGGTGACGGGCGTCCATTGCGTCAGACCTTTCTGTGTATAATGAATCGAGAGATAGATCTAGACAGAAGGCAAAGAATCGGAGTTGTCAGGTCGATTGATGGACTTGAGCTATCGTGACGGGATTATGTTCGGGCGCGGGGTCGGGCTCGGGGTCGGACTATGCTTCGGGGTCGGGCTTGGATCAAGAGGTCTGTGTGGAGCCTAATGACAAAGGGAGTGCGTGTATTCAGACAATGGCTTTTGAGAAATGGTAGTGGATCTATTTTAGCTATCGGTATCTTTATGATCTCGTTCGCTTGATGTTTAGGAATGTCCCATGTCAGTTCCCGGACCATTGCACTACTTGAATCGCTAGTTTTCATGGATGATTGACTGCCGCGTCAACATCGACTTGGGGTGTGCCTCACTCTCTTTCTCCATCGTGCCTCCTTATCAAGAGCCAACGCATTGTGAATTGATCCTTTGCGTTATAACTGCACGTGAAAATTTACTTCAACAAGCTCTCAAGTTGTCTACAAATTGCATTGCCGACTTCAACTGTTGTTGCACTCCCGCCCAGGTCACTGAAGAAACCAGTCAGACGTGCGCAAAACGTTGAGCAGCGAGTGAAACTTACGGGGTCCGTATCTCGTGTCCGCCAATATCCCTAGAGTCCAAGACCTTTTCGACTGCTTTATCAATGGCCTTTGCCTCATCAACCATTCCAAATGAGTACCTGAGCATCATTGCCGCTGCAAGAATAGTGGCAACTGGGTTGGCGATCCCTGCACACGAAAAGTATCAGCCTTTGACCGTTTGACCTCTCTGGTGTGACTGGGACGAGGCTCTATTATTACCCTTGCCCGCGATATCGGGCGCGCTTCCGTGGATAGGCTCGTAGAGACCGATTCCTCCAGAGCCAGGGGTGGTGCTTGAGATCGACGCTGATGGGAGCAGGCCTAGCGATCCCGGGACCACGCTGCTCACATCTGACAGGATGTCGCCGAACCTGTGAACCACGTAACGACTAAGTGAGCTAACTCGAACCAGAAATCTTGTTGGGGCGACAATACTCACGTGTTATCCATGAGCACCACTCCGTTGAATGAGCGAGGATCTTTGACCATAAGCATGGCAGCGCTATCAGCAAGCTGGTGAGAAAGTTTGATCTGCGGATACTCCCTCGCGAAAAATTCCGTCACGGCTCGACGCCAAAGTCGACTAACAGCAAGGACATTGGCCTTGTCACACGAGATGACTTGCTGAGGCGGCTCCGTCTCCATAGCCAAGTCAGCAGCGACCTTTGCAACCCGCTCAATTTCTGCCCGAGAGTACGCCCAGGCGTCCGATGCAAAATCCTCCTCTTCAGTCTTGTCTCCGAAATAAGCACCTCCGCAGTTTTCTCGCACAAGGATAAAGTCGGTTCCTTCTGTGAGCTCGGGTCGGATAGGGCCTCGGTCGACAAGAGACTTGCTCGCAAACTTGCATGGGCGCAGATTCGCAAAGGCGTTCAGTCCGTGGCGTAAGGCTAGGACGCCCTGTTCAGGTCGCACTTTGCCAGCACCCCTGAGGGTAATTGAATCCTCAGTCATTGCCGCTTGGAAAAGTAGTGTTGACCGTCTGACTTACCACTTAGGCCCACCGACTGAACCGAACAAGACCGCATCGCTTGCCTTGGCCTCGTCCAGGACTTCTTGGGTCAGGGCTACGCCGTGCTTGTCAATACTGCATCCGCCCATCAACTCCGAGCGGATCTCAAATTTAACACCAGAGGACTTTTGGATCACCTCGAGGACCTTGACAGCCTCGGCGATGATCTCGGGGCCAACACCGTCGCCTGGTAAAACAAGGATCTTGCGGGAAGCCATTTTGTTGAAGCGTCAAGAGAAGGTCGCTCAGAAGCAATGTAACAAGTTATTCTAAGTACTCAATCAACGAGCAACTTCACCGTGATGTTTCTGCTTGAAAGCCGGCCGACGGAAATGAGGCCTTGTGGTAGACGGAGGTTGGTGGGTGTCGTTCTCCGCGTAAGCACCGGTCTCGGGGTAAGATATCCGGGGATGACGTACCCGATGCGGAGGGACTAAGTTGCCGCAAATAGCCGACTTGGAGAAGTTCTTCTTCCTCTATCTAATCGTCTTCGAAATAGTTCAATGCGTCACTTTGGTTCATCTCGGAATTTCATCTTTAACCCGGAAACCTATTCCCTAACTTCTCAATCCTTTGTAGCTTTGTTTACAGTCAAAAGTTAAGGCCTCGCAACGTTGGTGGTCAAGTCAATGTCAATACAGGCTTAGACATATGCGTGGTCACCAACCCTTGGCTCGGTCTACATTTTCGACGTGTAAGAACTGCTGGCTAGTACGGCAGTTGTCACATGCAACGAGTGTACGTTCTGCGCAGCAATCGCAATAGATTATGTTTAATGCGACTCCTCGAGAGCCGAATGGGCACATAGATTCATAATGGGTACCTGTATGCCAACTGGGAGGCCTGTATCGTAGTTCGGACTCGGTGTCGGAGTCGGACTAAGCCCTATCATAGCATACTTACTTACCTCATCTAAGTACCATTTGAGCAAGGAGAGGACACTAGACAATCTGGATTATTTGAGACACCTACCCTGTAGTCGAGTCAACCGTGAGGCTTTCCATCGGCAGCGGAACCGATGAAGTGTCCGTGGTTGTTCTGCTTGGACAGTGGTAGTGGACAAAGAGTTCGGAGAGTTGCCGCGATTTTTGGCAGCTGCCTTTTGACATCTGAAAAAATCCTTTTCCCATATTACATCAGTATCTACTTAACGTGGTGCGCATCTGCCACCCCGAAGTGTAGCGACTGACTTAAACCAACTCCAAAGTTACAAGCTTGACCATTGAAGAGCCGAAGCCCAAGATGTTTTCTTTCAACTCTGGCCTGCAATACTGTGTTGTCGTTGCCATTTTCGCAATGACACTACTTTATCTCTTGCACCGCTCTCTTCTACCCAAACCCATTCCAGGAATACCTCACAACAAACATGCGGCCAAGAACATCATGGGAGACATTGACTCTTTCCTCGTCAGCCAAGGACAAGGCATCTCGATGTTCAGATGGGTCGCAGCCCAAGCCGAGAACCTCCAATCGCCCATCATCCAGCTATTTATGAGGCCCCTTTCTCCCCCTACGGTTATCGTCACAGACTTCCGCGAAGCAGAGGACATATCCATGAGACGGTACAAGGAATTCGACCGAACCGATTTCTTGCGGTACATCTCTCAGCCACTGATGCCCCAGTTTCACATGATGATGAAGAGCGACGACCCCATGTTCAAGAGGCAGCGGAAATGGCTACAGGACCTGATGACTCCTGCTTTCCTGCACGGTGTTGTGGCTAAGCCCATCTATGAGAGCGTTCAGCAGGTGGTTGAGCTTTGGGAGAACAAGGCCCGCCTTGCCGACGGCCACCCCTTTGAAGCTTTCAACGACATTTATTTCGGGGCATTTGATGCCGTCCTGGCATTCTCGTACAGCAGCAACTTTCAACACATGACGCTGCCGGGTCGACTGCAGCTGATCTCGGCCCTCAACCACATAGAACGCCCAGCCATGGCCGGCTTACCGGTAGTCTTTCCGGAGAGTGAACAGAGCGAAGTCATTAGGGCGATGCTGCAACTAGCCGAAACGGTCGAGGAAACGAGAAAAGCGGTTCTGCCATGGCTTCGATCATGGTACATCCACCAGACCCCTCGGATCAAGACCGCCAAGAGAATTAGAGATGAATCTATCAATCACGAACTTGAGACGGCCGTGAAGAGACTCGAGGCCAATGAATCTGCGTGCTCGGCGCTTGACCACATGGTTTATAGGGAGAAGCGGGTAGCCGAGAAGGAAGGCAGGGCCCCTGTCTACAACTCTATTGGTATGCAGAGCGAAGTAAGTCACCGCATCGACACACGATTCAATGCAGGAGGTCCAGCATACTAATCACGATGCCCAGGCGTTTGGCTTCTTGCTAGCCGGGCATGAGACGACAGCTACAACCTTTGGCTGGGGCATCAAATACCTCACAGACAACCCAGACGCCCAACGACGACTGCGCGAAGCCCTCCGCCAGTGCTTGCCCGTCGCGGTAGAACAGAGACGGAACCCGACCCACGAAGAAATTATAAAGACTATCATCCCCTACCTCGATGCAACCATCGAAGAAATCCTCCGTTTCGCTGGGACGACTTCGGTCACGGACCGTGAAGCGATGCAGGATACGACGGTCCTCGGCCATCATATTCCCAAGGGCACAAACGTGATGATGGTGACAATTGGCAAGAGCATCCTCAAACCCGCCTTCGAAATTCCCGATACTCTACGGTCCAAGACAGCGCTCGACGCGTCGAGTCGGGTTCGAAGCTGGGAGTCATCGCCTTATCCTGTGGAGGACTTCAAACCCGAGCGATGGCTGGTCAAATCAGATAAGGACCCCGAGAAGACATTGTATGATGCCACGGCGGGGCCGCAGATGGCCTTTGGGCTCGGGCCTAGAGCATGCTTCGGGCGGAGACTGGCGTATCTGGAGCTCCGCATGTTGACCGCGTTGCTGATCTGGAACTTTGACTTTTTGTCGTGTCCTCCTGAGTTGTCCGACTATAGAGGCTACGACGGTTTGACGGTCAAGCCTCGGCAATGCTACGTCAAGCTATCGAAGATCACATTGTAAGGTCTTTTTCAAGGCCATCGCGAGGTAGCCTAGATTTTGACATGGTAGAGAGCCGAAGACCCTTTACCTAAGGACGTACATGTACATTATGTCACGCATATGAGGGAGGCGATCCCGGCCTCTCAGCCGCCTTGAATAGTGACGAAAGACATACACTGCAACGTGTATGCATAGACAGAACCAGTAGACTGAAAGGCGTCACACAATGAAAGGCATGGCACAGTGACTTGACGAGAACGAATTGCTTATCTAGTATGCTTTGACCTGAAGGATTCTCGCCACAATATGCAACGTTCTGTAAGCAACCTGTTTCTCAAGGCCACCGCGGCCTGTATGCTGAACTCCAGAAACACCATGCCCAATGCACCTATAGCCGCCCGATGCGCCATGCTAGGTAGGATATCACTCGCTTCAGCCTTCAAATGGCTAGTCCAACAAGGCCGTCGTAAGCACGCTCGACGGTCCGACCACCCATTCCAGGAATGGTCTTCAGCTGCGCCAAGGTCTCAATCTCGGCGTCTTCCTCATCCGCCAAGTGTTCCAAGTAATCAACGAGGTCCTGGGCCTTCTTCGAACCGAATCCGTGCAAGCCCTTGATCTGGGCAAGGTCTCGCGAGTTGACGATGCTCAACAAGTTCTGGGTTCGGGGAGAGGCTGGCCCGGCCGGGTCGGGAAGGACCATTTTGGGAGGCTTGGCGGGCTTTGCCTTTCGGCTCTTCGTCTTCGCGGCAACGTCCACAAAACTCATGTCCTCGTCTCCTCTGTCTTGTTGGTACTCCTCGTCACTGTCTTCGGCAGCGATTCTTCTACGCTTCTTCTCGTGTCCGTTCCGAGGAGAGGATGACACTGGCAGAGACTCGATGGGAAGCATGTTTCCAAGCTTGACCCTCAACTTCTCAATCTTGCCCAATAGCTTGGCCTGGCCTGGGAAGAAAGGAAGGGCCTCCTCGTACATCTGAAGCGCCACAACATCATTACCAGTCTCTTTGGCCTGCCTAGCAGCCAGCAAGAAGCGTAGGCCCTCTGAGCGACCATCGTCGCGTTCCCGCTCCTCATTCGCAATCCGGCGTTCCAGTGCTTCCAACCGTCGCCGCACGGCATCGTTGATATCGGGGTGAGCAGGTGCAGGTGCAGGCTCTGCCGTTTTGTTCTCCCTAGATGCGAGGATCTCGCTGACCTTTTTCTCGACGATGGCCTCCAACTGCTCTGCAGAGATGGAAAGCTTTTGTTCGGCTGGTTGAGCTGGCTGGGTTGGTTGAGCAATCAGGGAGGACTGCGACGGCCGTGCAAGTTTGCTAGCCTTGGCTGGCAATTCGCGTTCGACGAGGGGCTTCCGGGTCTGCGTCATGTTGGCAGTCGGTCGGACGGGGACAGCAGACTTGCTACGGTCGGTGTACACATTAAAAAGCTTGACCGGTCGCGTCAGATCGGCAGCTTTTTCGGTTGCCTTGGCTGCAATAGTGCCACTGTGAATGTTGTGGGCATTGGATAAGGGGCGGAGGGGTTGTCGTAGAGTGGATGTAGAACTTCCTGAGTTTGTACGCGGGACTTGCTTGAAGACGACTTCATTCTCAATTTCGCGGACCTCGATGCGCTTGGCTCTCGAGCTGACATTCAAGCTGCTCAGAGTGTCCAGATGGTAGCTCCGGATTGGGGCCAGGTTCAGGATCATGACCGTGATGCCGTTGTTCTGGCCTAGACTGAGGATGCGCGTCATCTTTGACTCGCGGTAAGGAATCCGTTTGTCCCCTCGTGAGATGGCGTCGATGCACTGGGACAGGACGAAAAGACTTTTGTTGATGGCAGCAGACTCTACCAGTCTCTCCTTTCCATTGTCGGTACGGCGGTTGTCTTCTGAGCCAGCCAAGTCAATGGCTGAGGCCACGCTTTCGCGGACCTGGTCTCCCGTCGTTTGGGTCACCTTGATTCTCATGATGGCATGGCTTCGACTGCTGTGGGCGTTGAGTTTCGTTGATGCCGTGACGCGGTTGTTATTCGCTTCGATATAGAGTCGGGAAAAGTCCTGAAGATCCTCGCAGGCGCGTTCGGACAGACCCACTACCATCGTCTTGCCATCTTTTTCGCGGAGGGGAAGGCCAGAGGGCTGACGTTTCTCGGGAGGTTCGAATAGGTCAAAAACCTTGTCGTTGTATATCTCGTAGTATGATAAGACAACGT